GGTTGTGTGCCAGTGAGGTCCTTCGGTTAGATCCACAAGGTGCTGAGTGTAAGGAGACGCACCTGAAATGCTTCTACACGAACGCACGCAGTATGAGGAATAAAATGGATGAGCTAGAAGTCCTGGCCCAGACCCGCAACTACGACATCATCGGCATAAGCAAAACCTGGTGGGATGAGTCCTGTGACTGGGGTGTTGCGATAGATGGTTACAGGCTCTTCAGGAGGGACAGGCAGGGTAGGCGAGGTGGTGGGGTGGCGATGTATGTGAAGCAGGGGCTGGACTGTGTAGAACTCCAGGTCGGCGATGGCAAAGTTGAGAGCCTCTGGGTGAGGATCAAGGGACGAACGAATAAAGGGGATCTCGTTGTGGGAGTCTATTACAGACCGCCTGGCCAGGACGATAGCGCCGATAAATTATTCTTTACAGAACTAAGAGAGGCCTCGAGATTAACTCCCCTTGTCCTTATGGGGGACTTCAACTTGCCAGACGTTAACTGGGAGTGCCACACGGCTTACACGAGTAAGTCCAGGAGGTTCATGAAGCACCTAGATGATAACTTCTTGGTGCAAGTGCTAACGGAGCCAACTAGGAAAGGCGCCCTCCTTGACCTGTTGCTGGAAAACAGAGAGGTTCTGGTGGGAGATGTGGTGATTGGTGGCCGCCTCGGTCATAGCGACCATGAAGTGGTTGAGTTCAAAATTTACGGTGACAGAAGGAAAAGTGCCACCAAAACCTCATCCCTAGATATGGGGAAGGCGGACTTCAGGCTGCTCGGGGAACTAGTCAGCAAGGTCCCCTGGGAAGCTGCTCTTGAAGGCCTTGATGTCCACCAGTGCTGGTCACTCTTTAAGCGATGCCTCCTAGAAGCACAAGAACAGGCAGTTCCTAAATACCGCAAGTCAGGCAGGCGCGGCAGGAGGCCGGCGTGGCTGACCAGGAACATTCTTATGGAGATTAGGCGGAAACAGAGAGTGTTTCGCTACTGGAAGGAGGGCCGGGTGACATGGAAAGAATACAGGGATGCTGTTCGTGTTTGTAGGAAGAAAATTCGTGTGGCTAAAGCACACCTAGAGTTGAAGCTGGCTGTGTCTGTGAGAGAAAATAAAAAGGGTTTTTTTAGATATGTGAATGGAAAAAGGAGAACTAAAGAATACATAGGGCCGCTCCTTGATAGGGAAGGTCTTCTCACAGACGATGACATAGGCAAAGCAGAGACGCTTAACGCCTTCTTTGCCTCTGTCTTCAATGCCGATGATGGGCTTTGGGACCCAGGGTGCCCTGAGCTGGAGGACCGGGACGGTGGGGATGACAAACTCCCAACCGACCCTGAACGTGTGCGGGATTTGCTACTCCACCTGGATCCCTACAAGTCCATGGGTCCGGATGGGATTCATCCCCGGGTGCTGAAAGAGCTGGCGGACGTCATCGCGGAACCTCTCTCAATTATTTTTCAACGATCCTGGGAGTCTGGAGAGGTCCCGGTAGACTGGAAGCTGGCAAATGTTGTGCCGATTTTCAAGAAGGGTCAGAAAGAAGACCCTAGCAATTACAGGCCTGTCAGTCTCACGTCAGTGCCTGGTAAAATCATGGAGAAGATGGTTCTCAAACTTATTGAGGTGCACCTGGGGGACAAAGCAGTCATTGGTCCCAGCCAGCATGGGTTTGTGAAGGGCAGGTCCTGCCTAACTAACCTGATTTCCTTTTATGATAAGATCACCCGTATGGTAGACCAAGGGAAACTAGCTGATGTGATTTTTTTGGACTTCAGCAAGGCTTTTGACACGGTTTCCCATAGGATCCTACTGGACAAAATGTCCACCATACAGCTAAATAAAAACATCATACGATGGGTGAGCAATTGGCTAACGGGCAGGGCCCAAAGGGTTATGGTGAATGGCGCTGCGTCAGGCTGGCGGGCGGTCACTAGTGGGGTCCCTCAAGGCTCCATTTTAGGGCCGGTACTTTTCAATATTTTTATAAACGATCTGGATGTAGGAATAGAAGGTATTTTGAGCAAGTTTGCCGATGACACCAAACTTGGAGGAGTTGTGGACTCGAATGAGGGTGGAAAGGCCTTGCAGAGGGATCTGGATAGGTTGGAGAGCTGGGCGATCGCCAACCGCATGAAGTTCAATAAGAGCAAGTGCCGGGTCCTGCACCTGGGACGGGGAAACCCTGGCTGCACGTACAGACTGGGCGATGAGACGCTGGAGAGCAGCCTTGAAGAGAGGGATCTGGGGGTCGTGGTAGACAGCAAGTTCAATATGAGCCAGCAGTGTGCCCTGGCAGCCAGGAGGGCCAACCGTATCCTGGGGTGCATCAAGCACGGCATCGCTAGTAGGTCGAGGGAGGTGATTGTCCCGCTCTACTCTGCGCTGGTGCGGCCTCACCTTGAGTACTGTGTGCAGTTCTGGGCACCACAGTATAAAAAGGACATGAAACTGTTGGAGAGTGTCCAGAGGAGGGCTACGAAGATGGTGAAAGGCCTGGAGGGGAAGACGTACGAGGAACGGCTGAGGGCACTGGGCCTGTTCAGCCTGGAGAAGAGGAGGCTGAGGGGAGACCTCATCGCAGTCTACAACTTCCTCGTAAGGGGGGTGTCGAGAGGCAGGAGACCTTTTCTCCATTAACACTAGCGACAGGACCCGCGGGAACGGGGTTAAGCTGAAGCAGGGGAAGTTTAGGCTTGACATCAGGAGGAAGTTCTTCACAGAGAGAGTGGTTGCACACTGGAACAGGCTCCCCAGGGAAGTGGTCACTGCACCGAGCCTGACTGAATTTAAGAAGAGATTGGACTGTGCACTTAGTCACATGGTCTGAACTTTTGGGTAGACCTGTGCGGTGTCAAGAGTTGGACTTGATGATCCTTAAGGGTCCCTTCCAACTCAGGATATTCTATGATTCTATGAGCAGTGGCAGTGAACTGGTGAAGACTTGCATATCCAGAATAAACTGGCAATTAAACAACATATGAACAGAGAAAAGGTTATGAAAACAAGGCTAAAGACACATAAAGGTTATAAAATTGATTACAGGTGTCCAACTGTCTTTCAGGTTGAACAATCACCTGTAAGAAAAAAATACTAGAGCTCAAAGTACAAACTCTGTGAGAAACAGTCATGAAATCTCAGCAAAGCAGACTTGATTCTCATTTAGAGAGACTGTATAAAGTTCAAGGGCAAACTGACCTTGTGGCAATATAATAAATGATAGTTTTAACAGAACGCTGCCATCAAAATATTGATATTTTTGACCAAAGATACTATATTCTGAATGCGTTCACAGAAATGGCACTTTCTTGTAAATCATTTAGATTATGTCGAATTACTTAGCTCTGACATTTATTTCTCCCATGCAATGGGAATCGTCTACCAGTACTCAAACCCTGGCTAGCCAGCTGGTTCAAAAGCAGAAACAGTATCTTGCTAAAACATGTTGATCCTAGTAAAGATCTATTCAACACATCGCCATAACAACAGATTTTAAAAGACACACAAAAAGAAATCTTGTTATTGCCAAAACAATCAGAAAAATAAAGCCTGCTTCCTATTATTGATATGGCAAGTAATAAAAATACCTGTTAGCAATCAAATCAAGCTGACAAAGCAATGTTAAAATGGTTGGAGTAGAGCCAAAAGGAAGATCAGAATAGGTATTTAGGACAATATGCACTGCACTGCAAAGACCACTTCACACCAACACAGGAAGAGACATAAAAAACAGCAAATGAGCATTTTTACTATAAGCTATTAAAAGAGTTGGGAATTAAGTTAAAATATCAAATAAAGATTGACCGACATAAGGGGCTGATCCTCTGTCAAGACATGTATTTCTTCACGCATTCAGTCAGTTCTTCAGTCCAAACACTTTCTTACTCACCTGTTCTTAATCAGAACTGCTTGTGTATATTTATGCAGCACCTAACATCATGTAGACTCGCTATACTCTAGCAACTATAACAACACATTACTCTGGCCAGTGGGAGAAGTTAAACAGGGGTCTACAATTAAGATGCCTTAAAGCATGGGTAATTCAAGGATTCCAGGCAACTAAATAGTAGCAATAACTTTAACATCTTCTAAAGAGAAAAAAATAGCAACCTATTGAATATGATTTTCAATGCACTTTCTTCCACAATCAAGAAGTAGAAATTGCACAACTATTTTTAAAATATATATACGTGCATAGAATGCAATGTTTCTGAACATTTACAATTCACCAGTCAAGTCTAGTACACTGTAATTCCACTGGAATGAGTAGACCCTAATCCATCATCTTCATAATTTCTGTCTTAATCTATGGCATCCATCATATGCAAGACGTGGGTTTGTACCTGGGAAAGCAGGTTTGCCAAAATATTCTAATATTAATACATGCAAAGCAATATCAGACTATATAAACTTCCCTACTGAATACTATCTCTGCTCCCAAACTGCTGAGTCTGTAAGAAAACTTTCACATGGGACAATGTTGCCAGTTTTTCCTATTGTTATGCTTTTCCTTCTAGGATGGAAATGGAGAGCCAAAAAACCTGAAAAATTTGATACTGGAAGAAGTACATGAGTGAATAAAATGCTATTATATGGTTGATTTGCTCACTAAAAAGCACAAGTTAAATTTATTTTTTTCAGTTTAGAGATGTATTTTTTTTCAGTTACATTGTGTAACCGAATTTCCAGAGGAAAAAAAAATCCAATTCATGCAAGTTTTGCAAAAACACAATACATCTTCACTTAAGCACTGTAAATGGGAGTTAGTAGGGGTTTTGGACTTACACACTTCCTAAAATGGTCAAAAAGAATACATGATAAAGCAAACTGTCATGCAAGAAACTGTGTGAACTGGAGATATTGCTTTGCTTCCTTAATCAATCAGTGCAATAGCTTACACAGTTTCTAATGATTTGTGACTGTACAAGGGTATTGAGTTAATACAGGCCTGTGAGGTCTCAGCACACTGATAGTGTTATTAGTGAAAAACGTGGGAATAAGGGCTACCTCCTTCGTCAGATGGCCTTGTTATCTCACTGCAGTATGAAAAGGTAGGGTTCGTGTCAGAACCATCTGATTTATAATCTCCCAAACTTGTAGAATGCAAGTACTGCTTACTGTAACGGCTTGCTCTTTCTACAAAAGTAGAAAGAAAGAAAATCGCTGTAAATATATGAAATTAAAAGCAAAACAATAAAAAACACAACCAGTAACATTGATATTCATACACTGATAGTGTTTAAACTAGAGAAAAATGAATTGTGCACAACTTTATATCCATTTTTGAACACTATTAGTTCAGAAAATTGCTTCAAAATCAAACACAACTAAGATTGTTCTCTGCTTTAAAAGAATAGCAGAAATGACAAAATATTAAAAAAAAAAAAAGAGAGAGAGATAAGATGACATGAAAATTTACAGTGGAAAATCAAATCGTCCTTTTCTTTCAGCATGCATACAAGTGCACATAGAAGTACTGCTGTAGGACATTCAAAATAAGGTTCCACTCCCAGTACCAAAGAAAATATGCATGCAAAATTAAACATTCAAATTAAATACATCTGGGGAAAAAAATCTTGTTGAGCCAAAACATTGCTGCATATCATTACATTAACTTCCCTACTTTTCCATCTATTCTTATATTATTAACAAAGATAAGTTATTATCCTTGGAACGGTAAACACTAGCATAAGGTATAATATCACGTGCCATATAAGCAAAATGTGCATAGGAAAAAAAAATCAATTTCATAAATATGTCACCTATATCTCTGAAATTTTATTAAGGTCTAGCTATTTTAAAATCCATAATGAGGACAAAGAAGGTCAATGCTTTCTAAGTGACTATTTCTAAGTGGCATGAGTAATTGTTGTTTAGCATAAGATTTCTTTCACTATTTCTTATCTGCACATGTGATAACAGCTTGAGTTCCTGTAAAACACTGCTATAAAACAGTCATATATACATACATATATATGAAAACAAAACATATATATAAAACATATGGCTGGCATATTGACCAGAAAATTTACTATATCAACTTTGTTCATAAACAAAGAAAAAGCTGATTTGGTGAAAAGTCAGGATATAAGCAATACCAGAAAGCATATGCAGACTCCTAGACTGAATATTGTCCTCCAGAGGATCAATGTCGAAGATGGAGCCAGGATCTGTGCGCCAAACTTTAAGATCTTTCCCCAAAGCATAGAAATGGTAAGACAAACAAAAAACAAAAACAAAGGAAGTAAAAGTATGAAAGCAGGTGAGTTTTAAAAATTTGTGACTAATTGACTACTTATCTTCATGTACAAATTAACTAAAAGATCTAAATATTCACCTGAAAGGACTGCAAAGCATAAATTTCCATCTTAAAAAACTTGGTGCATCCATTTTAAAGCGCTGACATTATTTTAAAGATACTTTCTTTCCTCAATTTTTGTTTTCCTTTTCTAAATATGATTATAGTATTTTCTTAAGTTTAAATAAATATCACATTTATTGTAGTTACATATCACATACCTACAATCTTTTCCATAGCAGAACCAGAATCATCAAAGCTATGTGATTTCCCCAGCTCACCAACAGCATCCTTCATCCATCTCTACAGCTGGCGTATGTAATACAGACCTATGAGCCTAAGACCTCCTCTGCATACAGCAGAGATGAAGTCAGCCGACTAAGCAGAATTAGGGGCATAGATCATCTCATCCAAAATAAACCTCTAAAATTTGCTCAATTCATTTAAGCTCAAAAGGTTGGTTGTTGTTGGTTTTTCATCTTTCCTTACCAATACAAAAAAAAAAGAAATGAACCAGGGTGACAAATTCATCTGTAGAAATCTACACTTTAGACAACTACAGTTGGGTAAAATGAAGCCCACTGTTATCTTAACTAGTAATTCTCTTTGTCTCTGTTTCCTGGGACACAGACTTAATGTTGATCCACTATCTCAGTATTGAAAAGTATTTTTGGAATTCATTCAATTCAATAACAATCATAACTGCAAGACCTTCAGTTTTAATTCACACAAATAAATTATTAACACATCTTGAATTCACTTCTGAACTAGATATTGAAAGAAATGTAGTCCATAAGAAATAAATAATTTCACGTCCAAGCTCTAGTTATAAACACAGCATAAAGTTGAACACAGATTCAACCATGATTTTAATAAGCTTTTAACAAACAATTAATGTTGTACAAGCTAAGAGGAAGCTTATAACAAATGCATAATCAGCTACAGTGTGACTTTTTGATCTACTCAGTACAATCTGTAATATATACAATTCATAACTGCTGTGCCTAAAAATATAATAATCATTTAATCACTCCAAACAAGTTTAAAATAAAATCTTGATGTAAAGTGCAATCAAGCATAAATATATCAAATCACACCTTTTTATTATTGGTTTGCATCTCAGGCAGACCTGTCTTCAAGATTTACTCACTGCAATGGAAGTGGGAAAAATAATTGTCTTCCCTCCTTGGTCCTTTTGCTGGTTTGAGTGGCGCAAAGCTAAATAATGGGTTGGTAGGTAAAGCAGGACTATGGGGACCCCATATATGTTGTGTTTCAAATGATTAATATCTTAGAGGCAATGGAAAGAACAGTCAGAGGAAATAAATCCCTGGCTGTGTTTCCCTGGCTTTAGAACAGATTCAATGTATGAGCATTATGTGTTATCTATTGCAACTCCTGCAAGGTGAAGCATAGTGCTAACTCCCTCTTGACAAGATGAATAAAAGCCAATGTACAATCTTTTGATAAACTATGTGTTAGTCCTAATGATGATAAATTATGCAACTACGTAAAGCTCTGACAGGCACAAGAGGGGTGGGAGGAACTGGTAAGTGTAAAGCTTTTCCTGTTTGATCATGTCTTGGTAAGTAAAGGCTTAATAAGTATGACGTCACGGCAGCAGTAATGCAGCAGCCATTGATTGTATCTGTCTTTGTAAATCTGAAATAACACAGGTAAAATCAGAACCTTGGTAATTTATAGAATTTATCTGTTTTATCATCCTGGTAACTTACGCCAGTTTAAAATATCCTTAAACTCACATGAGAATCATGAAGCGTCTTTTGTCACAGATTCAAAACTCTGATAGATTAATATATCTTGATGACTAGAATGGCTTTAGCATGGTTAAAACTAGTGCCTATTTTCCAGAGCACAAACATTAATTTTACCAATCAATCATTTGAAAAAAAGTTGTTACAGCTTCACTGATAATACTTTAAAAGAACAGCCAGATGGATTCTAACACAGAAATACTTCTTCTAACTGGATGAACTTTTATCAACTAAGAAAAAAATCAAGAGACTCATAGTTGTTTTTTTGTCAGTGTGCAGTTGTTTTTTTCCAGCTGCCAAGGACATTCCTTGAACAGGGAGCTCACTGCTTCTTTTTATACAAGAAGGTGTTATAACTGCTGTTCACTCTGAAAAAGCATTAGGTGAAATATCACTGGATATTAGGATCTCAGATTTGTCATGGCCTATCTCCTTTAAATAGTGGCACTATTTTTGCTGTTTGGTGGGTACAGGGAACTAAGAGTTCCTCTGTGTTTTGATACTCTTTAGTTGATAAAGAGTACTAAAAAATAGTAATATTTCAGTCACATAGTTCAAGAATTTCTCAGGGAAGTTCTTAATCCTAATCAATTTGAACTAGCAAGCCTTCAGTTATTGAAAACAGGGCTGCACTCATGATTGCCACCAAGGGCTAGTGTAGACTATGCAATGCAGCATAGTCTAGGGCGTTTAAAGCATGCACCAAACTGTATATTGAACTGCGATTTTACAGGAGCTTTTCTTTGGCTGTACCACCTCTAGCTATGGAAGTGAGACATTTGATACAGTGCTTGGGTCTGTCCAGACAGTAATTTAACTGAACAAAGTGTTGCCATAGATCCAGAGTATGTGGACCTCTAAGATTTGCATGGTCTTAAAAACACCAGTAGCTTCCCTGGGCAGCGCTCTCTAAACATCCACATTTGACAAATTCCATCTGATAGAAGGCTGGAGCTATAGGCATATAAAAAGTGGCCATACAGCAGGAAAGAAATACACTTCTCTAAATAGCAGGAACTCATTTTGAGACTTTCAGGAAAAAGCTGATGAAGTATCCGTCAGGAATTAGAATAGATAGTTAACCTTATTTTAGGCAGGAGGATGGACTATATGACCTACCAATTACTCTGTTTCACCTGTAGTTTCTGTTACTTTCTGAGAGGTAGGCTTAAACTCAATTCTTGTTACTACATATGAAGGATTTTAGAGTGCTACTTCAGGATGATTTTCCCTGTGCAGACACTCAGTTGTCAATACTGTTGTAAAGCACAGAAAAACAGAAGAACACGCCAAACGAAAAATGTGTAAAAATAAATGTTAAGTTGACATTTCTTTCACCACAGCAGGCTTGCTTACTTTTAAAAGAATTCAAATATGCATTTTTATTTTGAACCACTGTTTGTTATGAATACCTTCCCACAATTACTTGTCTCCTAATACAAAAATAGTCTATATTCTAGCTTCATACATCTGGTCTTACCTCGGATCATCTTTTAGAGCATCTCTTCTGAATGCCATGGTGTCTGGCTCACCAGAAATCTATCAAGTTATTAATGAGTAACGTCTTGTGCTACTTCAAAAGCTGTATGTAATTCCAAAACACAAGGTACATGGGCCATGTATAGCTCTAGAGAAATAGCTGACCAGTGTAGGTGGAAATCTGAACTGGTCTGCAACATCAAGACCTTGCAGAACCACCAATTTAACTATCTCTCTTCTACACAAAATAAAGAACAAAACAGATATTTTGGCTTTTATTGAAAAGTCAGTGTTTAAAAGTAAAGCTACAGTAATTAATATCCATATTTCACACACAAATTAAATAAATAAATAGATCAAAGTATACCTATCATTCATTCCCATCTACTTCCCTAGAAGCTAGCATTGGACCAGTAGTTCAATGTTTCACACTGAGAAAAGAGTGAAAATGAAATTTGGGAGTATTTTTTCTTGGATATAATGGAGAACAGTAGTGAAGGCTTTCCCACAGTGTTTCGGATAGCAACATTATTTAGCAACTTACCAACAATTATTCCAGGTCTTCTATCCATTTCAACTATATGTGGGTGCACACCCTTATATGCTGCATCACTCACAACCTGGGTGTTTTTCCGCACCCGCTCTGTTACAGGATCATCTACCACTGGGGTGAAGCCTCTGCCTTTTGTCTTCTCAAAATCTTCATGATATTTTACCTAGCAAAATAAAAGAAGAATTACATTATTCCCCAAGCTTTAGTTGACAGCAAATGGTTATTCTATGCAGGAATTCATAACTGTTTGCTTTAAGCACTTATATTCTTTGGGTTTTGTACCATAATAGAATTGTTATGCATATGAGATAGAAGAGACTCAGCAGGACTTCCAGCTTGTCTCCCTGACCTGATACCTTGATATTTTATTATCATTTTTGCATTTGTTTTATATTGCCACCAAATGAGACATTTACTTGAGCAGCAAAGTATCATCTTATAGTCACATAAATCATTGGGTATAACAGGAAAAGCCCTCATCAGATGGTCATCTGATCCATCCCCTTTGAGATAGGACATCTCTGTGATGATGTAGACAACTAATTCTGTCAGTAAAAATGTTCCAGCAGTGTACTTCTTAAGAACTCAAGTACTCACTGCAAATTTTGATGCTATGCACAGATTCATTAAAAAAAAAAAAAAGGTACTTAGGTATTTTTTGCCTTTTTGTTTTATCATATGCCAATTGGCTTTAAACAAAGGTTTTTAGGAATAAAAATTGCACTTATTCTAAGCAGCCTGCTTTCAAAAAATAAAAAGAAAGAAAGGAAAAAAATAAAATACAAAGACGTTAGGGTATAAAGTGTTATATAACCAAGTGTTGGAACAAAACCAGTATTAGTAAGAGTTATAAAGGTAGTACCCCCAATTATGCATTTTTACTTTTTTAGTCTTAATCATCAAAGATTTAAAATTGACAAACATTCTCACACAAGCAGATGCACACAAAACTCATTCCAAGAACAAAAGTCACGCAGAAACTAGGAACGTGCACAGGCACATGGTGAAGTGTGTCACCTAATCCAGTCAAACTGTGTGATGCTCAAATGAGTTTTTTTTTTTAATTAAAAAAAAAAAAAACCAACAATAACAAAAAAGAACAGACATTTACCTGTTAGAAAACTGTTTATTAGTATTTTGAAAACGTTCATTACAGTCATATGCAGTTAGCAAACAGTCCCTCAACAGGCATAAGAAGAAAATATTCTTTCCATACTTGAGCAGAGAGTTTCATTAGTTACCTATATTAATGGAAGGCAAAATCCAGTGGAAGTCAAGTGTCATTCCTTAGTATATTCTAGTTATAAGAAGAAGGTACCCTACCATTGAGATGTTGTTTTGTGTTTCTTTGACATGCCTTAGCTCAGGTGTGTCTAGAATCACACTACGTCTACCTTTCATCTGCCTCTGATCACTGCTGTACTTCACCTGAAAAACAGCAACAGCATACATGAAGGTTTTGTTTACCGTAGAAGGTATGGTGAGAACCACACTATGCAAAAGCATATTTTCCAAATCATAATGCCCAGAATTCTTCTGTTTTCTTTCTTTACATTCATTTTCTAGTGATCTTATTTCAAAGGGAGGATACAGATGGGCTACGGTATTGATAAGGCCAAAGGACATGTTTATTCCATCAATCAGTCAAAAAAATCATTGTTACGTGAAAGCTGAAACACTTGACTGTTTTAAGGCTTAAGACATACGTAGTTACTTAGAAGTTCAGATTTTTTGTCCTTAAACAGATCCTTTGATAAACAAGAGCTACTTTACTCTTCACCCATACAGTCAGTTCTAAAGTGTTCACTACTGTTCATTCTCTTCTGCCACCTTGAGACAGTGGTTCTGCATGGAAGCCTGTTCTACTTATCATCTGTAGGGGTTTCACCACTGATGTTTCAGTGTTGAGAACATAGTCTGTAGCAGAACTAGTCTGGTCCTTTACTTCACTGTGCTGCTTTGACTTCTTTGCTCCTTATTAGTACTGTCTTCTACTTCTTACAGTACTGTGTGACAATGAATGCGCGTCTCCCCTACATACCTCCAAAGGCAAGTATTATCCAAAAAAAAGGCCAAGATTAATACAGTATCTACCCTTTAGTGATTAATAATAGGATCTATTTAGGACTACTCTGCTCTTAATTAGGTAGCATGTTGCAGAGTGGAACGGATATGCTTCCATGCTCTGAATCACATATACACAAAAAAAAAATCTGCACTAAAGTTAAAATCTCATTTCCTTTGCCCTTTCCCATAATTTACTCCTAAAATCTAGCAAATCAAACTTGGTAACAAGAGACAAAGGTTCTTGAACTGACCTCTTACATTTTTTATAAGAATAACCACAAGTCTGAATATTTTTGTTGCCTATATGTGCAGTCATGTATTCAAAGGACAAAAAAAAAAAAAATCATTCAGAGGATGATGCAGTTGGATTCATTTGACACATCAAATCTAAATGGGAAAACATATCCTTGTTATATTCCTACAGTGACAGAAAATATAAATGACAAAAAGATTCAAACAACTTGCCGAGCTGATATTGTCTTGATTCTTCTTGACTCTCTCTATCTCAGGAGTGACACTCACAGCAGTAGCTTTGCCAGGCTGCTCTCTGTAGTGAACCTATTATTTAACAGGATAAAATGGTACATACTTTGTCAGCTAAAGCAGTATCACATTGTATTACATTAAAATGTATGATTCAAAAGGTCACCCAGGAAACAAATGAAAAGCTAAAATGCATTTGAAGTTTATTAAAGCTTATAAAACTTGATTTTTGAAGCATAACCTTGAATTCTTTCTGTAAAGTCCTCTTATTAACGCATTTGTGTGAATATATACACACATATGCACACAACATCTTGACATTTACCACACGGGTCTTTGGCAGTACAGATAAATATCTTATATTCAGAATGGGGTAAACTATAAATAAGGGAAGCAGAGCAAATGAAAAAAAAAAAATGAATTTCAGCAATGCCCACTCTAAATGCTTATTTCTACACACATACACAAATTCCATAAGAATAACATCTACATTCTAATTTGTATACTCTGTAAATTCAAATGTGATTAAACACAGTGGGTGCAATACATCTGGACTGTAAACTGATTCCAACCATCTATATTTCACCGTATGTTTATTTAAATGTACTTTTCAGCTTAGGAATATCTATCCCCTCTATCACTTCTTAACAAATTACACTAGTAGCAATGATGCATTAAACGAATGGACACTCAAGACAGATCAGTATCTAAAGAGGATAGATATGGCATCGACAGACTGATCAGTCTGTTAATCTTGGCCCCTAATACAAGGAAGTCTAATATGGTGCATATTTAGTAAATAATCAGAGATTCTTGGATGATTTATGCCAATCAACACTTTTATGAAGAAAAAGTGTTTCCATAAAAATCTCTTTTTTATATGTGTTTGTGTATGTGTTTGCGAGTGAGTTCTTGCTTTTGTGTTGTAAGAATAACTGAGCTGATACATTATGCTAATAATTCTGCAGTGCACTGTGGCATTAACAACGTCCAAGCAATTGTCTTGCCACACAACACATCAACTGTCCACATCAACATATTCCAACTGAAAAATTAATGTCTTATAGAAGTGATGGTAAACTACCAAATGGATTAAAACTTACAACTGACATTTGCAAAGGTATAATGATCACTTGGTAAAACAGGTTTGTTTGAACAGTGTGCATTTTAGGGGAACTAGATGCATCAGCAGCAACCTATGAATAAATAGCATATACTTAAGTTAGAGGGACACTATTTTGAAAATTGTAACTCAGAATTAATTTGGGGAACATGAGTGAAAACATCCTAGGGAAACACCATAGCTGTTTGTGGACCCATGAAATATGGATGTCAACAGAAGTCACCGCAAGAAGACTCAGTAACAAGGTGCAACTTCAACAATGAAAGAAGGCAACACTGAATTCCAAAATTCCTTACCTTCTTCCACATGCTCTACCAACTACAAACAGCTTGACTTTCTAATGATTGTTTCAGCCATTAAATAAACTCTGATAGGAAAGTTACTGAGGAGCCAGAAAGAGAGGCAAGAGAGCTGGAGTTTGAGTCCAACTGTAGCCTTTTTTTTATTTATTTATTTTAATTAAAGGAAAAAAAAAAAAAAAAAAAAAAAAAAAAAAGCTGGTGAAAAGATATTGTTTAAAATATTTATATATAAATAAATAAATTAAGGTTTTCTGCAAATATCCAAGACAGAGAATAAAGTTTCAAAAAAAGTACAGCCATTTATTTGAGTACGTGCTACTTTACGTGCCATTTTCTGAACCAAGCAGTGGCTTTTCTAGTTGCTTCCTAAAGGAGAGTTTTCAGGTAATTCCATTTAGTTAGGCCCATGCCTAACTAAAGAAAGGGCACAGGCAGAATTTCTTACTCATCATCTGCACGCAGCATTTATACAAAAGATGAAATAAGAGCAACTTCCCATGCTGACATTCTCTTGATTCCTCTTGACTCTTTCGATCTCTGGAGTGACACTCACAGGTGTAGCCTTGCAGAGCTGTTCTTTGTACTGAACCTAGTGAACATGGCATAAGATATCACACAGAGACTTCCAAGTAACAGAAATACAGCAGTGTGTTAGAAATCATCAAAGAGCACACTGCATTTTGTTGGAAAATATTATTCCTTAGTAAACACACTCATCTTTCATCATGACACTTAGTACTCAACCTCTCTTGCGGTTCCTCTATTTCAGAGGTAAACAACTTATACTTCAGCAGGAATATTTCACTCTCAATGATGTTAATCAAAGGGCAAGGCTAAAGAGTTACCTTCTTACCATTAATTGGTTAGTCTTTGTGAGCAAACAGGAACTAGCACAAGCATCACAGATATATTCACAGAGGCACAAACACATTTAACACAGCAAAGACTGCAAGCAATGAAAACGGGGCACACATTGCTTATATTCTTCTGGTTTTCCTTGACTCTTCTTAGTTCAGGTGGATCAGAAATAGCTGTTGCATGCTGAATTTCTTCTTTGTATTTAATCTGCACAATAAATATTATAAAATATTAGCAACTCAAAGATATAGACAAGTACTCAACCACAACACAAGTTTTATAATCTGTCCCTTGCATGCACCACAGCGCTAGACCAGACCTACCAACACTACTGACCTGAACAGGAACAGTTATATTTAATTTCTGACACAGATTACTAGGGTCTCAGATGATTCTTATTTGATAAGATGCAGCACAGAGTGCATATAAAATGCCTTGTATCCTAAAACTGTTACAGCATAAACTTATATCACATCAGATTGTGGCTATGTTTATAACTGAGATGCTGCATATACTGCTTCAAGATCTGCATCACTCTGACAATGACATGGTCTTATATTGTCTTACATAGGAATCTATCAGTCCATTACAGAAACCAAACATTTCAAAAATGTGTCCTCACAAGGGTGGATGGCCTCAAAGTCTGGTTGAAGTTCTCTGGAAACATAAACAGACACATTATGGAGAATGAGGATGTTTGGATGGATGATACCTTTGAAGATGTTGTCATAATTAGTGACATTTTACCACATCTATTCTGAAGAGCAGTATGTTTGGATATGTTAGACTCCATAATTTGAAAGACACACAGAACTAGAAGAATTTCTTCAATTATACTCTGTATGTACCAAAGTTTGAATTCAATCTGGAGAGTTGTGAGGTAGGCATACATGGTACTAAAAAGAAAGATGTCATATCTTCTGGTTTTCTATATGCTATCCAACAGGGCCATCTTGGACAAATTAGTGCAATGTCTTTTTCTTAGTCTGTTACTAAATATCTGTCCAGTATTTAGTACCACTGTGGACACCATCATTAAAGAAATGGAAAATATTTTGGCTAATAGAAAATACTTGAACATTTTGTATCACAGACACATGCTGACAGCAAAGAAGTAATGAGTCTAAACTGCCTTGGGTTCAGTTTAACCTCTGGAAGGATGCACCCATGCACAGGAGCACACCATTCTGTCCATCCTTCACCACCTCTGGCCTCTCCATTTTGTCTGTGGCCAAGCCCTTCTACACTTTCAGTTCCTGACCCCTGGTCTTTATTTTTTTTTTTTCCCAAATCCGTTGTACCAAATGTCACTTGCTAATATTCAACTCTCTGCTCCAAGGCATGGTACTGCTGGAGGAAGCCAATTTATTTTTATTTTTTTTTAACATGGACAAAATAACTTGTTTTTCTCTGCGGTCATTCTTGGAAGCTACTTTGGCTGAAATTTATAAATAAATTATTTAATAAATAAAACAAAAACAGCCCAAAGCACAGACCAGAAATGGAAAATTTCAGTCCAGACAGTTAAGGACTGGCAGAAGTATTAAACTACTGAAAACAGGGTCTTTTAATAGAGACTATTAGGTAAGCTTAAAAATTGGCAGTGTTAGTCCTTAAATGCTTCAACTGCTTGAGTTTTAGTCAGGCTCCAACATTTTTGGTGCTGAGTTTCCTCATGGATTTCACACAAGCAAAGACACAATTACAATCTTTCCCCTAAAACTTCCTTTCTAGTGATGTGTCCAGACCTTCCTGTTCCTCAATGTAAAGATTTTTTTTAAATCCTCTTAGTTATTTGTAGCTTCTTGGTTCAAATTCAGTTATTGTCCATGGGTGTGATGCTTACTTGTAAAGTTTTGTGAGATCTTGACTCCCAGATATTTTGGATGCTGACTCATCCTACCTACTCTTCACAACAGGTGAGATTAGATCAGCTATGCTGGCTGCCACCACCTTGTTTTTTAAGTTGTGAAAACAGACTATTCTGAGATTTGTCTCCAATAGATGTAACCTTGAATAATTTGATCACTTTCAGAACATGATGCAATGGACTTTTTTTTGCATGGTTTGATTGCAGAGTGACTGTTATTTTGGTCTGTTTTTTCTGATTTTCTTGGGGTTTTTTTTGCACTGCTGATATGCATCAAATTGAGTTTCATCTAGCACAACAGTTTTAAAGCTGTCCTAAGTCCTTCTGGCTAAATTCAAAGATATGTGCAAGGCGTTCAAATCTAATAGAGTGTAAATTGGTGTAATTTACAAATTATTTCCTTTGGGGCTCCTGTAAATTACACCATACAATACATACATTTGTCTTAGTGACAAATAATTTAAAAGTTTTTTTCAGATTGCCTTCAAATTTGGCATTCTACCCTTTCAATAATTACTATACAAGACTTTACTAATCATAAGCATACTACATGCAATAAAATACTTTTTGTAAAATATTAGCTCTTCACATAGACTAGCAAGGTAAAAGCCATGGTACTAAACCACTAGGCTACCACTACAACCACTCACATATTTTATGTTTCTTTTGATATACTTTTGTTCAAGCATGTTTACTAGCATACTGATCCATCTTTTATATTCCTCTCATCACCATTGTTTAGGATTTCTAAAACAGCAAGAACACTGCATAGCATTTTTCCATTTCACTTTGATAGGTACTGAGTAAAAAAACATTAGAGTAAGATTACTCCTAATAAGCCTCTGTCTGTGTGAATGTGCATGTGTGTGACTACTCTCAAAATATATGGCTGAGGTATCTGGAAAGTAGGTTTCTGTTTCTAGAACACCATTTCAAATCTGGCAGAAGGAGAATGGGGAAAAAGAAAAGAAAGGGGGGAAAAAGAAAGGGAAAGGAGAAAAGGCAAAGGGCAGGAGAGGAAGAGAAGGAGGTGAAAGAAAAGAAACACATTTGCAGAAGAAAAATAAGAACAAAAGCACCCTCATTAGAAAGAAACTAAACAAACACAACCAACAGCTTCACAACCAGAAAAACTATTTCAAGGTGATATCTTGCACTGAATCTGTAAATTGCACAGGACTCAAAATGAAAATAAAAAATGAAAAGTGATTGAGCAGAGAAAAAATCCAGGGAAAATATTATTTTTCAAAATCTTATTGAAATTCCCTACCTGGCCTTACTTTGTTGGGAAATGCAGTATTTAACAAGGAAATTATACTAAAATAGTTGTACCAAGTCCTTAATTTGGATTTCAGATAAGATTTAAACACAATCTACTGTCATTTATATGTGTTACTTTCAAACTCTTTTTTTTTTTTTTTAATTTTCTAATGATCAGAAATGTCATGACAGGAACAACAGACTCCGTAACAAAACAGAACAATGCCATTAGGACTGTTTTCTTGTTCAACAGTTACTTTTCCTTTTTCCCCCAAGCTTTGCCATGTATTTGCCATGTTACCGAAAGAGCATGTCGTACTTGTTGAAAACTCTTTCTGATATTTTACTTTTAGTGGACCACTAAAGTGCCAGAAACATTGGTCATCCATAGACAAACAATACTATTTCAGAACTGGTTTCATCAGGTCCACAGATCAACGTATCATCAGCACATATAGAGGCATAGACACTCCACCTTCTCATGTAGCTTGATTCTGGACATCCATTTTTTTCCTGAAGTGCAAATTGTAACAAATGCTGTGTAATATATGCAGACTATAGGAACTTTAAAGATTTTCTTTTTGTCATATGATATTTTTCTAAATTGCAAATTATGACTGCAGCTCAGTCTGTCATATCAGGAAATATATTTCATGTTTCTCACTCTTGAAAAACAAAATTATTTCCTCAAATATTTAGTTAAAAGTTTTTTTCCTATATTTTAAGATGTTTCTGTTTGAACTACCTTTGGACTCAGAAGAACACCACTAGAATGGAGCATTATATCCAAAATCCAGTGGAGTGGTATTTGAATGAGATGTGTAATATTAAGATGTAGAATTTTTAGTAAACAAAAGGATTAAAAAAAAAAAAGACCATTTACTCATGTAAGAATAATTAATGCTAATAGCACTTACCGAACTAATATTCTGTTGATTTTTCTTTACTCTTTCAATCTCTGGAGTCTCTTTTACAGCTGTGCCAGCTCCTACTTCCTTCTTATAAAACACCTTCATTTCCCCAAAAGAAAAAGTAATTATAAGACTGTTAGTATTGCAAGTACAAGTTCTCATAAAAGGGCTAGGCAATTTTCCAGGTTTCAAATTGATCTGACTATAAATCTTGCCATGAAAGCAAATACTTTAATTTTTCATAAATCACACCAATTATCAATAACTGTAATGATGTTGTTTGTTATCAACTGTAAACCAGATAATCTATTATCATCCTTTAGAATGACCTCAGCTATTTATAAGTATTTGTAATGAAAGCTTTGTCTTTGGAAATAATATTAAAATTTAGATCATAATCTATAAACATTTTTAAATGCAACTTTATGCTTGAGTAATCTCACTGATTTCAATTTAATTGAACGTGCATGTACATGCAAGATTTGAATTGCTTTTAATCTTCAGATCTTAAAATGCTCTGAGATGTGAATAGATAAAACTATTTCTAATTTAACAAACAAGAAAATTGACATATTCATGATCAAATAACCAGAAGAGCCAGAGCTACAATCCAAGTCATGCAATTTTTAACTTCTGGGTTCAAGCCAGAAAGCTGAGGACTGCATCTACAAACAAAGCTCACTTATGAAAAGAAACACATTTCTAGATCTCTATTTCAATTGTTTTAATAAAGGATAGAATACAAAGCACAACAGTAGAATAAATCACTCAGAGTTACTGAAGGAGACATTAAATTACTGCTCCACAAATTCTAAATGTGGCTGTAATTTAAATAACCATAAAGCACCAGTTCAAATTGCAAAACTCTTAAATAAGTTGTATTTGTATTTCCAGGCTGGTAATTTAAACACAAGTCTATCCTGGAGTTTATAAAAAAATCTTTACAATATATTATTTCTGCTTTTCTTAAACAAAGATTTATTTAACTACTTTTAAAATTTTATTTCTCTCAAGCCTGAAACAATAAAACATCATTTCTCTTACTTCCTTGAAAACCTGTGTAAACTAGGGTGACCAGTATTGCTAAATGTTCTAGAGGAGAGTGAATTATTTAATGTATGTAAGTAATTTTTCAAATATTCAGAAAACCTTTAACAATTTAGAATTTTGTTTTACCATGTGAGAACAGAGACAGCTTATGAGTAAGATCTTGAAAATTCTTCTGCACAAACATGTCAGTAGAAGGTAGAAAGATTTACAAAGTCAACTGACCTAAAATACACTTTTCTCCACTACCAAGAAGGGAGTGGTAAAAAATACCAGAGCAAGGAATTTTTCTATGAAAGAGAAGACTGTGCAGTAAAAACCCTATTGTAAATCATCTGCCAAATGAGCTAGTGAGCTAAAAGCAGCACTGATCTTATCTGCAGAGCTAGCCACATTTTTTTTTTTGTCCCATAAGGCAGAAAAATACTTCAGAGAAAATCCGAAATCAAAAGCCTATTAAGGGTCATTAACTTCTTCTACATGAGCACTGCTCCCTCGAGTTAGTAAAGAGTAACTTACCTTCATAAACTAAATTGCACAGGGTGCTGAAAGATTGAAATGAAGAGAAAGAAAAGAAATGATCGTTCAATCTCACCTATGAGCTGCTTTCTTACATTTGGAGGATCCACTTCAGATATAGAAAAATGGGGATCGCAAAATAAACTCAACCAACCTCAAAGATGTACATTTTATTATTTTATGTTATAAAGAATCCTAACAATTAAGTAGTGGAAGGTATGCTGGTATCTGTCAGTCCACTCTGCTTAGACCCACTGAGGACTCCACCAAAAGCTATTAAAAACTGGAGCAGAGAGGAAAGCAGAACAGTAGATGCAAGCTGGAATCCTTTCCATTACATAAAGTTTCAGTGTAGCATGTTAGGATGTTAGGATGCCAGTAACAGGAGATATGGTGACAACCACCTTCACACTATGCAGCTGAGTTCCATTCAAAACCAAGAGGCAACAAACTACAAGAAACAAAACTGGGGCCAATGGGCCTGTCAACAGATTGTATTAGGAAGATGTAGCTCTCAGCTGTTCTCACGTGATGGAAGAAAAAGAGCAGGTGGTGAAGCTGAGGGTCTCTCTAAACTAAAAATCACATCTGTGCCAGATAATACTAAAATATTTAAGTAACTTCAATGCCTTTCTCTCAAATCATTGGTTTTATTAGTATAATTAGTCTGCCAGAAAAACAGACACTAACTGGATTCTGGAGGCTAAATTTGCCCTTTGTCTTTTCTTCCCTGTTATATTACAAGCAAAGCCAGAATTACAAACACCAGAATTAATGGGCACATAGAACTGGAACTGAATGGAACTGAATCACAAAAATGGAACTGAATCACAAAATGGGCAACCTTGGAAATCTAAGCACATAATTTATATAGGAACAGACTGAAACTTAAATCTAGCATAAAATTTTAAAAAATGTAACCAGGGTAAAATAAAATAATTAGATATATATTTATGAAACTCGCTGTGTTCTAATTTTATCCTAGAACCTTGGTATTCTGTATATATGATAGGAAACAGATGAAAAATCCTGTGTGCACAGTAACAAGCCTTAGCTTTCTTGTACATTTAAATAAAATACTTCCTGGGGCTTGATGGAAAAAGAAAAGAAATCTTCATTCAAAAATAACTGTGGCTTGGCAAGGTGATAAAGTGGTTTAGCAATTCAAAATAAGTGTCACACCTAGAAAAACTGTATTTTTTTATTTATTTTTTTTTTACTGAAAGAAATGAGTGATACAGTCTTTGCCAGGAAAATTATGCAAATGGATCAAAGAACATTTACTCATACGTTCCCTACTTCATGCTGAGGCACTAGAGAGCCTATTTAAACTGAAAATATCTGAAAAGTTGCAAGTGAAGAGAAAATCACTGTTACTCACTGCACTGATGTTTTTCTGAGTACTTTTTATCCTCTCCATCTCTGGAGTGTCTGGGACAGCAGAATAGTTACAGAGCATCTTCTCTGCTTCATCTTTGTACATTTTCTGAAAAAAAAAAAAAATGATTTTAAAATATCAATTTCCTGCTTTCTTAGGGCTGAGAATAACCAAACTGCAACAACAAATTGCTTATTGTTGATGAACCTCAACAGCATTGTACAGATTTATTTCAACCACTCTCCTCTGTGATATTCTTCTATTTATTTTTTTTTCCTTCCTTTTAGGTAATGTAGAAAGACCTGCAAGTAGCTTAGGGATATGGTTTAGTGGGGACTGTTAGTGTTAGGTTAGAGGTTGGACTCGATGATCTTGAGGTCTCTTCCAACCTAGAAATTCTGTGATTCTGTGATAGATGTACACAATTCAAATCAATTTAGATGGCATAATAGGCCTAAATACAAATAAGAATCAGGCAGTAAGATTTTTACTATGTGTAAATGCATTTAATATGGGTATGATACCATCTACAGAGCTAGCATTTTGAGCAATTAATTGAGCAATTAGAACAGTTAGCCTTTGAACTATGCCTACCTGGCTTGCTATTTCTGAAGCCCTTTTGACCCTTTGTATTTCAGGAGTATACGGACCAACTTGCATTCCTTTTCCTATAATTTCAGTCTGAAGATCCTTTTTATATTCTTTCTGCAAAAATAGAACAAAATAAAATTAAATAAAGGAATGTAAAACAAAGTAAAACAATATCCCTGAGTACGCAACATAACTAATTCTGCAGTTATTTGTATGTTTTCTTCTAAGCTATTCTGATAGCAATGATTAGACCTCAAAAGAATTGCTTCTATTCATGTAACCTGTTTTTTGTTTTTTGTTTTTTTTGGTTTGGTTTGTGTTTTTTTGTTGTTGTTTGTTTTGTTTTACTGCACACTGCTTATTCCTTTTAGCACAAGTATCTTTAACATCTCATTCTGTTTCACTTCAAAAGTAATGTTAACAGATTCATTCTGTACTCACCTGGCTTACAATTTCAGAAGCTTTCTTTGCTCGTTGTATATCAGGAGTATCCATGCCCACTTCCATTCCCTTCCCTTTAATTTCATTCTCCAAGTCTTTCTTATATTCTTTCTGAAAATAATAGCATTGGAGTCACTCATATGTCCAACAACCAAATCCTTAACATTGTTCATACATTACTCGGTACAATTTCATTGAGCAGTATCTATGAAACACCAAATAACTTTTGATGTTATGCTGTCTACAGCATTATCTTTGTAGAACCTACCTACAACACACCTATTAACAGGTTAAACATCCTTTTAAGAGAGTGCTTACTTTGATGTAGCCTTTCACATCCATGCGTCTTTTCAACTTTGGCAGCCACAATCAGAGGCATATGAAGACAGAAGTTTTTATCCCTCATCTATTCTTGGAGAGACTGAGGTCATAAAGCCGTTAGCATCATTCTAGCTCCATTTATTGTTTGGCCCTACCAAAACAAGCAGCCTCGCCTGCCACCACTGAATACCATCTAGGCCAGGCATGGGTCAAAGCTCTGGGAACACTTATCTTTCCCCATACGTGGACTACACAACGTTTAGACTCCACACAGCTCAACAGACTAGGTATTTAGAGAAATCTGTGGTATGCCTACTGTGTAGATCGGGTGTCACGTGGAATTCTCAGTGACAGTAATTTGTTGCATTCTGACAGACTGAAAGATTGCATCGTGTACAGGAACTTACAGTGCTTGCAATTTCAGAAGCTTTCTTGGCTCGTCTTATCTCAGGAGTATCTGGACCAACTTGCATGCCTTTCCCTTTAATTTCAGTTTCCAGGTCCTTCTTATATTGTTTCTGTAAGGCAAAACTTCGTACATTAGATTCACAATAGCCAGAGAGTTACAGGTAGATTTTTATGCAAGACACAATATAAGAGCCAGAATTTTGACTCAGTCAAAAATCTCAAGTAGAGGGTGACAGTTCTCAAGAGTCTTGGCAAGGTTTGGTTAGCATAACATGTAACAAACTACAAGAGAAAAACTTTAGGAGATATTCACAGAATGTACAAAAACTACCACTGAATTTTCAGTTTGGCAGGGGGTGTGAGAATCAGTCCATATAGCTTGTTGTAATTATCCTCTGCAGTAAAGGGGCAGTTTAGCTCTGCAAAACCTAGTGTAATAATCTGGTACTTGATGCGAGCCTAATTGAAACACATTTTACTTTTAAGAAAATATTTTATTTATGAAGAGTACATGATAGAAATCAAATACTGTACAGAATTGTTTCCAGTGAACTTTCAGAACAAGATGTTGTAATTTATTCATTTAATAGGTCTTTCCTGAACCACAGCCATTAGACAAGTGGCTGTACTCATTCATGATTGCTTCTTTTCCCCCACAGTATAAATTATAAATAACCAATACAGGAAACAAATGAATATTTCATCTTGAGCTTATCCAAGCAAGGATGTATTTCTTGTTCATCAACAAATGATATTCAAATATCCATGATATACATATATTCAGTAATACTGAAATATACAATAGTTGTAATTATTTTAATAAATATATATATATATATTATTTTCTTGGACACTGCTATTTCTGATACTATAGCAATATCTTTTTATATTATAGTTTATCTCTGCTCATGGAAAATGTGTAACTTTTTTTCAAAATAAATACTTATGCTTAAATTTCCTGTTCATTAGCCGTTTTTAAGTTACTTAGGAAAAAAAAAGGGGGGGGGGGAAGAAAAATGTCTTTATTACAATGCTCTAAACACATACAGCATAAAGTAACAAGAAAAAGAGCAGAAATACTTTACCTTAAATCTCTGTCTCACTCTGATATGGAAATAAACATGCTAAAACTACTCCCCACTTCCAAAATTCCAAAATTTTTATTGGTATAAATTATAAAAATATATAAAAATATATAAAAATATATAAAAATATAAACAGTATAAATTATCCTGTGAGAAGATGTTATGTCTCAATTCCTCTCTGCTAAAGGTGGAATGGCAGATGCTTTCCCTTAGCTTCCCAGTGTGTAAAACACCAAGGAAAAGGTAACCCTGGGAGTTACAGCTATATGCATAGCTGCGCTTGTTTACATTGATCAGCCCTATGCACAAGAGTTCCTCTGGTTATTATGGCTATATATTTATATGTGTGTGAATATGTAATGTATTTACACACATCAAAAGAATATGGAATATATAAATATATATATTGCTCTTAAAGAATGACACACACAAAAATGTGAGGTGGAGCACAAGCTTCTTTCCCATTCCCTTTTTCTTTTCCACACCCTCCGGCCCCATTGCTGTGTCCCAGGCAGCCTGACAAGCTCTTCCACATAATGAGTGGCACCAGCTTTGGAACTTGTGTCTCAGGGAAGTATGCAGTCTTTCCAAGCACAAATCAGGCCACACGTTCCTCAGGACAGTCTTATGGAGATGCAGTCACTGAGTCCTCCACTCCCAGCCCTTCAATAGGAGTAGGTTGCACACCTGTGTGCTTCCAGGTAACCTCCAGAACATATCCCAACACCATTAATACCAAAGTTCAGTTCTAAAAATGTGCTCTGGAAGAAGCCTCTACCTGTCTATTTGCAAAGGATGAACCTCAAGCTCAAGAAATGAGCTTCAGGAGCAGCTCTAAAAATGTTTTCACAAATAGAACAGGTTATTTGGATAAAAGTTCTTTCAAAGTTGTCTGACAGTCATTACCAATATTTGTTTTCAAATAACAGACACAAGATTCAAAAAACTGGAAATTATTTCATTGACTTTTCTTTGCAAGTCCAAACTCTTTCCATTAGTCATACTAGTTGAACAAACAAGTAGACTGAAAAACGAATTTTAATGCAATTTTAAATTCTGTGCCTACTAACCCCTCTAACAATTTCCATTGACCTTTTCATTGCCTGAAAATCTGGAATATTCGTCATAAGCTTTTTTCCAGACTTTGTCTATATTCTTAAAGCAAAACAGAAAGAGCCTTAGTTTCAATACTTACATATTTTATTGTAGATTATGTTAAAAGAAAGGAATATATTCAATAGAGTATGTCATAAAGAGTGAACTTTCTCTGACATCAATAACCTTGACTAGCATAACATACCTCATTTAGTATCTGAGCTGCGTTTTTCACTCTAATCAAATCCGGCGTATCTTCAAACACTGTCATTCCTTTTCCTTTCATCCATTCTTCCAAATCTTTTCTATACTCTTTCTAAGGATTTAAAGAGAGATTTCTCCATTTAACATTGTGTGGAAGATCTTGAAAAGAAATGCCACTTATTAAATGTCTGAAGGGTATCTTTGAAATTTCTATGAAATATGAATTAACGGAAGGTTTCAGAGTTAAAATAGAATTGGAAATTATCAAATCTAAAGGTACAATGTTGCAAAAGTGGAAAGGTTTTAATATAGCCATGTATTTTTCTGTTATGCTCCTGACAAATAATCCACTCTTACACAGTGCTAGCATGTTGTTTGGGGGCCTCAGCTGCCTATCTACAGATACTTCAATTGTGGTAACACTTGCTTTTATGCAGACCAGTATCTGCTGTGCTCCCATTTTTATCTCCTTTTCACTAATGGCATCACAATCAGGATGGATGCCCTAAAAACTGTATTAGGACATGTTAAAATGACTGTTTGAGAAATTATAATGTAGAAGCAATATTCCTACCATTTCTCTTCTGCTCCCCTCAGACACTGCATTGATATGATCTATCAACATTTGGCAACTGCAGCCTACAGAGTACTCAAGTGTTAAGTATAAAATTAAAAGCACACTAGAATCTGCCTGCAGACATTTGGTTCCTCTTCTTCTTTCCAGTTCCTAGAAAACTAATGTAAGCCTAGTGAAAGTGGAAAATCTTTTACGTTTTGTAGGATTTTTAAATGCTCTTTCCATATCCAGGTTTGTATTATTTGTTTGTTTGTTTGTTTAATGCAAGGAAATTATAAGGCATTTGGAGAAAATGTCTTTTTAGAAGAATTTATATAGACATAATGCTCTTAATCATGTATTGACTTTATAAGAAGCAGGCACCATTGTCTCAGGAATATTTTTTTAAATAGAAGACCTGATATTTTTTAAAGAAGCTTCTCTATCATGAGAAACATCTTCTACAACAAGCAGAAAACTTAAATTAAAATTACTAAATTCAGTTCTCTCTTCTGACAGAGTTGTGAAAGTTGTTCCAGAGAAACAAAATGCAACATATTTGCAGAAATTTCTATAGTGAGAAGGCAACAGAATTAGCTGAAACACAGCTGACATAAAATACTAAAAATAATAATTCATTTTTTAGTAACACCAGGTTCTCCACATTGTTTGATGCAATATCTATTTAAATTTTATTATTAACCTTCACACAAAAATATTGAGCTACATCCTTGACTCTGAAGTACATTATTTTCCTGAATCTTGAAAGATAATAATTAAATTGACCTGTGTAATCTTTGGTTTTGGATACTGTTCCTTGAATGTGGATATAAGATCTGTAATTCTGTACCTTTGTGCATTAAAAATGCCATTTCCGTTTTCTTTCTTTCTTCCCCTCTGCCTAACAGATATGCCTTATTCCCTAAGTAATGAGTTGTATAATTTGACAAGGTAAGAAATAGGGAACAGCTTATTGCATGTAGCACAATGCAAGGAACACACTTGAAAGTTTTCAAAGATGTAAATTTACAGCACATCTGCAACTATGCATGCACTGTCCACTTCTGTGGACACTCAGCAAGCAGCAAGATTAACTCAATGAAATGCAAGCATTTGCATTTTTCCCTAGTCAGCAAGCGCACAAGAATAGAGTTTTGTATGCATAGAATGATATTACATAAACTGGACTGAACTTGGGACTTGTCTATCTGACAGTCAAGCTTATAGAAATAAATTATTAATTAGAGAATGAATAATAAAGAAATATCTGAAAGGAAAGTCTTTTACCCACAGCTTAGACTGGGATAAGCTATTTTAAGAACAAGGCAAGGAACAAGAGTCAAGGGTTTTTAATTCTTGCATCCTCAATTCCATCCATCTGGGCTATAGCAAAACAACCAATCCTTAATGCAATAAATAGTTAAATAAATAAATAAATAACAGGATACTGTTGGATCCAAAATTCAAATGGAGAAGATGGATATTTCTAACTATGAATTTTATGTTAGTGTTTTCGGATATATTTACTTCTAAGTTTGGTCAAATAATAAATCTAATGTATAGTACTAACCAGTACTCAAAACCTAACAAGAAAACAGTTTTGATTAATAACATAAAAAGACCAAAAATAGAAGGATTCTCAGTCACAGAAAAGAAAGTGATTTAATTTACAATTCCATATGCAACTGAAGAATATTGGACAAATATTAAAGAAACAATGGACATACAGAAAATCCACTCCTTCTAACAAAATTTACTTAAAGCAGATTATGTAATATGGAATTTTGGTTGTCTTAACTTTCATTCAAAACATGTGATAAATAATTATTTGAATTAAATTAGTTAAAAGTGGCTTGCACATAGCTCAAGGCATCCATATAAATACAACAGACTATCACAAACTAAAAATAATTACCCAAAAGGAAAAACAGCCATCTGGATATCAACAGACACCTTCATTTTCACCCCTTCATCTATCTGGAAAGCAAACTCCAGGCCCTCTCCAAAACCCTATCAAACAGATGTCTTTTGCAGCATGCCTGGAAGGTCACCAATTTTGGGCTATTTGAGCACAGGGGAAGGAACAAATTCCAAAATTGAGGCCCTCACAGGGAATGTCTTGCCGACGATCCATTTTCTATGGAATCACCTGATTTGTTCATTTAACTCTTTTTCTGATTCAGGTGTGCTGAACCTTATCATTTCATTATGTTCATAAAGGAAACTTCAAAAAGTATGAATTCTTACTACAAGACTATTCAGAATATAAAATGATATTGCAACTTTTATTCATGACATTGCTTTTATATTTAGCTATAGCATTAACTGTAAGTTGTTCAGCACTCAGTAGTTTGTAAATGAGAAATAACCAGCATCACTACATCTCAGTAAGAACAACAAAAGTGAAGTAAAAAAATGTCTACCTCCTTCAGAAGGTTAGTGACTTGTTTTATATGCAAGAACTCTGGGGTCTTGTCTAAATCCATTGAGGGCTTTCCCTTGAGACTTTCTTCAAATTCTTTGCGATACATTTTCTGTTGAAGCAAAAACAACAATTAGTGGTACATGACGTTCATTTCCAAACATATTTCAGAAAGAGCACTGTAAACAGACTCAGAAATGAGCTATGCCAGAAATTAGTTATCACATTAATAAGCAATGTTATTACTCATTTTATTATTTAGATTACCTATACGAGATGTAATTATATACACATGCAATTTAGATAAAAAACATGTGTGATATTTCCAAAGAGTGTCTAAGATGATCTATGAAAAAACAATTTGTTCAGTACAGAAAAGACAAATGGTACACAAGGTAATGGCTTTTAAACACATTAAAGTTTCTAACAAGAGGACAAAATCATCAGTTTTCCATGACACAGGAAGAATAATGGAATCAAACTGCAACAACAGAGACACAGGACAAAATGTGAAAAAAAAATCTTGGTATGGCTAGTGAAGCACTGGACTCATTTGCCTAGAAACTCACAAAACCTCCACCACTGGAAGTTTTTACAAAAAAAGCTTGAAAAAATATGGCCTGACTTAGGATAGCTGATGCTTCCCTGGAGCTCAGGACCAGTTCATCCCCCATGCTGAGTTCCCAGGCTGATGGGGCAGGAGCACATTGTAGTTAAAGCATGAGCCTGGACCAGGTTTGGCAGCTCCAATCCCTCCCACCTGAGAACCCTCCTTTGTTAAAAAAGGAATTAAACGCAAAAGAATTTGGTCCTTCACCCATACTTATTGCCTGCTTCTGCAAAACTTCCTACTGCTCTCTCTCTCTTTGGTGATATGAAAGCAGACAGGGAACAGGAGACTACAGAGCCAGAAAGAGCAATCCAGAGACCACTAAGGTGTTTTCCCCCACAGCATGCCATTAACCTGAAGAGAAAAAGCCTGCACTACCTTGCTCATAATCTCCTCCCTAAGTTTTCAGTCCAATAGCATCTCTGCCTCCTCAAGGGAGGAGATAAAGGGTGTTCAGTAAAAAGTCAACAATTTCTGATCCAAGTGACCTCTTGAGCTTCTTCCCAATTCTCAAAAGGGATGCAGTATACAATATGTCCAGTCTTACCACCTACAGCCTTTATCAAAAAAAAAATGTTTTGAAGGAAGAACTGAACTACAGAAAAGAGAACTCTGTTCCTACCCCATCCTCAGTATACAGTGCCTTTATGATCTACTTCATCTATTTACTTAACCTGAGTACAAGATGTCTGTTAGCCTCTCTGTTGATCTAAATTTTGCTAGTTCAAGCAAATTTTACTAACCTCACTTTGCATCTTTTGAGCCTCCTTTGAAACTTGGTACATGGGTGTATCCACAAACTCCAGCATTGATCTGCCTTTAGATTTCTCGTAATTCTCTTTGTACTTGACCTGGAAAAATTAAAATAAGTACTGTTAACAGCAGAGAAAATGTGAGATCTGATTGCTTGCTACAGTTCCCTATAGGTTTTTGACTTACAAGACTCCTTCCAAATTTAATCTGTTGGAGAAACAAGGCAGCCAGTTAAGGAAACTTTTTTCTGGAATTGTTTATTCCTTTGCTTCAATACATCAGACTTAAAAATGGTGAACTTTGAACTCAGTAGAAGTGAGGAGCACCAGTCACAATCCTTAATGAATTGCATGATTTTTGCTGAGTGACCTGTCTGAGCAGTTGGCAGCTTTTCAGTAGGATCCTCTGTCATGTTTCCATAAAACAGCACATTTACTACTGCAACAACAACAAAATCTGTTTTACAGCCAGGCTCCAAGGGTCTGTCTTTCGGACTGCAGAGTACCATTCTGAAACACTTTTGTTTGCACCTGGAGGAGGGGAAAATGGAAGAAAACTACTGCCTCAGTAGGGTGTGGTCTTGCTCCAACTTCTTCTCACAGCTACCAATGGTCATTGCCATTGCTTAAAGCTAGCAGCAAAATCACATTGAAGTACACAGGGTTAAGACACCAACATACAACTTTATGCTAACTTTCAAACCAAATACACTTTGTCTGGCAACCTGGAGAAGCTCCTAGACTTGTTCATTCATACACTTTTATTAAGGCAGTGTACGTCACCATGGGCAAACACATTATTTATCTCAATCAATCAATCAATCAGTGTGTGATACCATGCAATATTCTACACAAGACATAAAAGAAAACAAATATCAAAATATGATATTCAGAATGAGTAATGTCATTTAAATATATATGTCTCTTCAAGAATCCTGATGTCCAAATCTGAGAAAAATGTTCAGAATTTCTTCCATTGACAGACTTTTGTGTTAGGTTCCAATTCTGCAAAAGCACTCTCCTCATGGAGTGCTTCTGATTGAATATACATTATACATCACTGTCATTTGCAGTACACTTTTGTGCCCGATTTAATCATTATTAAAATGTTGCACTTTTCTCTTTGCAAGATTTACTTCTGATTGTGTATACCTGACTTTAAAGCACTGCATTTTCTTCATGATGGATTTAATCAGCTGTATCCAGGGTGAAATTATAGAAGCCTTGCTTTGCTTAAATGATTTCTTATATTCACATGGAAACAAAAAATATTGAAGAATGTTTCACAAACAAAACCCAGAAGGTTTGTAATTTAAATATTATTTGAAATAACCATGGGAGCAACACCAAAAATGTATGCTTTAAGCCTCTGGAGTTTCTGCTAAATTTGAATTTAAAATATCCCCATTTCCTGAAAAAAAAAATGATGAAACAAAGAAAGGTGATGAAACAAAGAAAGAAAATCATAAAAATGGCTTTTGTAAGTTCCTAGAGAAAATGTTTGCCATGCTTACACAGAAGTGAAATATTCATGTCAGCTAGAAAATAACCTTTTTTTTTTTTTTTAAACATTTGAAGTGCCAAGGAACAGATATGATGGTCTGTGTTTGCCTCCTAGTGGAAATAATTATAAATGTCACACAACAAAATTATTTCTGTAGTAGAAGTAAATGAAAATTACCTCCAGCTACAGATACTGACTTCACACTTTTAATCCATTTTCAATGTGTGGAAACAAAATTAAAAAAAAAATATATATATATATACTATAAAATAAAATGAGGTAAATTGCACAAACTTTTGCAGGAACCGGATTTGGTCTGCTAAGTCAGTCTATTAAATCACTCTGTTTCATAAAATGAAATACATCTACATTCAATTTTTTAGCATGTAGTTCATTACCTTCTTAAAGTCTCTACAATGGGGACAGATTTAAAAGGTGCAAACCAGTAAAATAGTTGTTGTAAATATATCAAAGTTTTAAATTATGTACCTCAATAGTTTATGTCAAAGAAAATTATATGTATACCATATGTGAGGAAAGTCCCTCCTTGTGAACTCTCTTCCTCACCAAAATAATGCAAATAGTATGGGTCTAACCTGTCAAAATCGGTCTATTTCTATATAGTTTTCTAGTATCTATTTCTATCTAGTTTCTATCTAGCTTTCCTCCTAACTGTTGAGATTTATTGCCATGGAAGCTGACTTGAAAAATAGCTTTGAATTTGTATTCTAATACATGTATTTCATAGAGTTACACAGATTTCCTTTTTCACTCTAGGTCAATCAGCAAATCAGTTCAACTAACCATATTAATTTATCGGTTTAATTAGCTGTACAGATTACAACACCAGGGTAGATGTGGCTATGTCAAGCAAAATATTAAGAGAAACATAATGCTCGGAGGAAAAAGGTATACTATAAGGAAATAGCAAAGCTGGGTAAATAGCAAGAAGCTCTATCTGTCATACTACCGGTCAAAGGCAAAAACAGACCATGTGATGAGTTTTTGGAAATCAGTTAACAGGATAGTCAAGCAGACTGTTTCACACAGTGGAAGCAGACTTCAAAAAAGATTTAGTATGTGCTGTCAAGAGACAGGGAGGAGAACACAAAGAGGGTATTTGAGAAGCATGGAGAAAGGCAGGACAGAAAGCCATGGCAAAATCAAAGAGATAACAGAGGGAGGTCAAATCCGAGAAAGATTTTGAAAATGGGATTTCTGTAGAAGACAAATAGCTAGTGGAAACCTTAAGGATTGACAAATCATTTTTCTTGCTGCTCACAATAAGAAAATATAGCCACCAGCATCTGGACAACACAAAAATCAGAAACTTAGTATCTAGGGATTCATCACAAAAGGGCATAGGCAATATAAATCGATCATTCCTGGGCAATAGAAAGAAATAAATTTTGACAACTTGATGATGTTCACTCCGAGGTTGTTCATTTAACCAGCAAAAAAAATGACAATCTTACATTACACTGAAGGAAACTGGAATTATGCCAAAATGCAAATGAAGAATGCAAGAACTGAAAACTATCAACTCCTTTATCATCCATACAAAAAAAAAAAAAAAAGGATAGTGTTAGCTCCACGCATCAGTGACATAGACAAAAAGCAACTAACTGAAAAGCAACACAAAAAGCAAATACAGACAGGAAGGCCGGATTATTTTGATTATTTTAGACATAAGCTTCCATAAGCAGGCAGTGACTCAGAAGACAACCCAATATGCTACTACTCATTAGGGTTGACCCTTTGCCTGTGAAGCTCTTGCCTTCTGCCAACAGTGAGTAATCTTCCTTCCCAACACCACCCACTCATGCATTTCCACAACAGTGTTGCAGCCTTTCTGTGTTTTCTGGAATAAAATGCAGCTAATCAGCCTCCAAGCACTGTGCATAAAACATACATGTAGGTGCTTTTGGAGTGGGAGAAAAGCTTTGGCATTGCACAGAGGGCAGGAGTTTCTTACCTTTTCCTCCCTATTTCAGCTGATGGGCACTACCCTGTGTCATACCACCAGCGGTATGAAAGAGCATTTTTTGTTATGTGGCAGAATGGAGTTATGTGCCTATTACCTGATCCAGTGTAGGAAGCCTCGAACATTTAGGAGAGAAAAAAGGCTTTGACAGAGAACCTCTATGGGAAGGTAACCCTTGACAGGCTGCTTATGGCAGAGGTGCAAATGTTACTCTAGCATAATGGTCACTTCTGTAGAGAGACTTGCAGATGAAGGCAACACGTAAGATCATAGTCAAGACAAGATTTGCAAGGAAAAATGTATCTTAGATCAACAAAGGAAAAAATGTAGAATGTTATTAGACATATAAGAAGAAATACTCAAGTACCAGAAGTCTGAGTGATTATTCTAGTTGTTTTAATAAAATAAGTCTCTCTCCCTAAAAGCCTTTTCTTCACTTACATCCCCTAACTACTGCAGTAACACTATAGACTACAACATTAAGTATGAGACCATGAAGCTAGTGTCAAAAAGTTATGTATTTTATATCGATTATATACATTCCTTACTCTCTCTCTCTATATATATATACATATATCAGATAAAGGCAACTTACATCACTATGCATTTTGCTGATATTTAAAGCATGGTTTAAATACAGCAGGTTTGGTAGATCAGAGGCTGGATCATGCAGGCTTTCCAAATCTTTCTTGTAATTCACCTACAGAGAGAATTCAAGTTATGTAAAATAAGATTAACAAGATAATTCACTGCTAATACGATAGCGTGTCTGTTCAGAAATATAGAGTTTGCCTGAACAAACTGTGTCTGACACTAGATGGTGCTCTTTTACTACTATTCGGGGTACAGGATGAAGGGCAACGGGGAAAAAAAAAAAAAAAAAAAAAAAAATCAGTGAAAGATTCATTGCCCTGAGCAAATATTTGGAAACTACTCAAAGCTTTCCTTAAAAATAAATAAATAAATAAATAAATAATCACACTGACATTTTAGGTTAGGAAAGAAAAAAAAAAAAAAAAAACACTCTTTTTTCTTTTTTTTTTAAGGTTCTAAACAATTTTGAAGAAAGCTTTTTAAGAGTAACCTCCTCAATACTTTATGCTTACTTATTTTGTATGTTATTGATTCTTGTTCTTTCTCCCTTGATTCAAGTATTACACTAAGTGTCCAAATAAAAAAGATCTACATAAAACAGTTAAAGGGCAGTGCTCCAGGATAATTTATTTAATACAAATTGCTTTCAGCAAAGATGAGCAGTATAGGCACATAAGGCAAAAGATAATCACTTAAAGAAGTAGCAAAAGATAACTTTCTATCAGCCCATAGTAGGATTTTCCATATTCTTGATAGCTGGAGGCCCAGCTCTACAGGAAGAACACTATCCAGCTTAGCTATTTTAAATTATAAACCTCTTAACCCAATACATTTAGTCATCTTCACGCATGTATGATGCTCTTCACTGAGTTAGATAGGCTTCAAATCAACAATAGTCAATTTGTGTATCTTTTATAATAAATAATTACTTAAACAGTGTGTGTGTGGGGGGGGAGGGTGTTTAAAAAAAAAAAAAAAGTTATAGAGTTTGAAAATGATTACTCTGTTGAAGCCAGCCTCTCCTGTTTCCTTTGGGTGGTGCCCCATGCTATGGAAACATCACACTACAGAATGAAAGGTTGTCTCTAGGCTATCTGGGATCACTCCCCCAAACAAGTGCTCACATTTTTAGCATTAGACACACTGATAAATATATCATCCCAACATCATTTCCACTTGATATAGATGTTTTCCCCAAGCTGACTCCAGCAGCAGGCACCCACACAGAATCTACGAACTGGATTCTAGGAATTTAAATCTAGGAAATCTAAAATACAGATCAGAAGATCAACACCATTAAGTCTAAAAGAGAGACATCCAAATCTGAGTTACTTATGCTAACCTCCTCCTGCAACCACTGGAGAGAAGGTAGCACTTCATTCCTCCAAAGACAGGAATCTACAACAGGTCAGATGATTTGCTCTCTGGACTGGTATCTTTCCCAAATAGAAAGGGACTGAGTACATTAGCTTGGCATAGAAAAACAAAGTTGAGTGAGATAAATCTCATCTAAAATCATTATGAAAAACTCTGCAGACCCTTGGAGAAGGGCTTTGTCTAAAGAGAGGAAGAAATGGATAACATGCTGTACTTGCTATACAGACACAATGTATAACAGGGACTTCTGTTCACAGTTATGACTTGTAAAATGGAAAAAGGATTTCTGCCTGAGAACACACATTATTTTTTTCAGGAAGTAACACATGTAAAATACAAAGCAAATTCACTTACATCACTTGCCAAGGTGGATGCAATCTGTGCTTGCTTGAAGGAAGCACTGTCAAGAGGATTGTACTGGTGACTCTTCATTTCTTTATTGAACTGTTCTTTGTATTTCACCTTTGGCCAGAAAAACAATATATATATATACAGTATTAACATGTAGTACTTAGAGAAGACACAGAATTCAGACTACAAAGGAACTTATTAAAGGCAATTGCCTTATCCATAAATCCTTAAATACTGAAAATATTTAAAGAAACTCAGTCTAGCCACACTTGTAACTATCTTGTGCTCATTTCAAATAATTTTCATATATCTGATTTTTACTGAAATAAGAAATAATAATTTTAAGATTTTCATATGTAATTATTGGTAGTGATGAGTTTATACTAGGAGATAGAAACAAAACTTAATGACTTAACTGGATAATCAAACAAATCAGAACTGTTTGACTAGCAATAATAACTTCATCATTGAGAATCATTCAATTCATAATTAAAAGTGTGCTTTTAACAAAAAAAAAAAAAGAAAAAGAAACTGTTAAATTTGTTAATTTGTTAAACTACTGAAAAGTAGATCTTTTGAAGCAAATTTTTCAACCACTTCAAAGTTGTTGAAAACAAAGTATGTGAAGTCAAAATCAAACTTCCCATCTGATTGCCCACCACCAGATATACGTGTCATCATGGCTGTCACCAGAGCCCCAGTTTCTACTTTTATTTCTGCCAGAAATTTCCAACAAGACTCTCAGGAATCTCTCTGCAGTACAGTCCCTTCTTGGAGACATCTGCCTCATTACAATATTAGAGAGCATAATTAAATGGCTATCTGCTATCACCCTCTTTTCTTTTTGTTTAAAGGAAAATTGGGAGAGATAAGACATGTAAGGGGAGATAAACGATACATAAATGTTGAGGTATTGTCATCAAAACCAAATAAAGTACAAAAAATCCATAGAACTGAATTTGAAATCTGAAAAAATGAAAATGAACAAAAATGAACAAAATCGCAGTCCTTTGTCCCCCTTATTGTGCATGATCAATAAACATCTGGAAACTTTGCACACATGCCTTGCTTCTTTCCAACAGCTGGGCATAATGGAGGAGAATAAAGTTCAGTCTGAATTATGCTGTTTTCATGAACGTTAGTCAGACACCTGATATCTGAGCCTATGCAACATCCATTATAATTTTCCATGCTCTGCATTAAATAAATAGCTTTTTCTTTTCTCCTTTTTTCTCTATGCCCACATGAATGTCTGATAAACTGGTTAAGCCACCTCAAACAATCTCCTTCAAAAATTACTTTTTTCTCAGCTTTAGTTGTGGGAAGTATTTTCTTTTTCTATTTTAGTTCTTCTTTGACTCAAAAGATTCTCAACATGGCTTAGCTTATACATCTCCATTATGTTTAGCCACAAGGCCAAATATTTCATAAATCAGGATAACAAGAAACCAAAACTAAGCCACCCAAATAGAAATTAAACATATCTTTTCAAGAATTACAATATGATTCCAACAATTACATTATTCATTACTTTTTTCTTTTTTTTTTTTTCTAAATCATTGTAACTTTTAAAGAGCAACTTTATTTGAAAATATGAAAATTTTTCACACTACTTCTAGAAAATAGTATATATTGCCTTCTGGTAGATTCATCTGGTTCATATTGCTTGATATTTGCCTTGGCTTTGGATCAATTGCAAACACAATCTGAATACAAAGACACTGCCTTTGTCAAAGGCAAATCCACATTCTGTATGAGCAGTGAAGAAATATCTTAGAGGGCTTTTCTCTTTTAAAAGGTATATCCAGAATTTGCCTGCTAATAAAAATCAGGCAGTGCTGGAATATCTGATTCAGAAAGCATACAAAAACGGATCAAGTCAACATGGTGAGCAAAACTCTCTTTTACTCTGTAGGCATCATAATGACATTGTACACAGGAGTTTAACTATCCGACTACTGAAGGCTGGGCTTTTGCCCAGTCAGAAAATGGCCTCAAACTGTGCATGTGGTCTGAATGCACAATGTGGTCCTTGGTATACTTGTTAAGTGTGAAAAAATCAGTGCCAAAGGGACCTCTCCTCACAAATGGCTTGCCATCTTCCAGCTGCAGCTATTTCATGCCATTTTTTAAAAAATATTTTTTTTAACAATATATTTAAATCTAGAGATTTCAGCAATGAATCCCTGTTAGTGTCACTTCAGATTACACCACTGCTGCAGAAGGAAAGGGAGAGCCAGTGAATCCAGTCTTCACAGGTCTGTGCAAGCTGCTCCCAAATTTAAGGAGACTGCTGACCAATCCAACTGCAAATGGTCCAGTTTCAGTGAGGGCTGTCTCAGTAGCTCTTGGTCCTGCTGTCTTCTTTGGCTGCACTGCTTATTACCTTTGCTCTCCTCTCCAACACCACCATACATGTCATTCTGGGGCAAAATGGAGGCAGCACAATAATATCAGATGACCCTGACAGTATCTTGAGAGCACTTCCAGCAATAATTTAACTCTGACTTGTCATAGGGGATTCATCTAATTGAAAGCTACACACACATTCACTTTTTTTTTTTTTTTTAATTGGCATTTTCTTATTTCCCTCTCCCTTTTGAAAGAAAGCATGAGGTGGGCTTGGGAGAAGGAAGAAGGAGAGAGAAGAGCAAGCACATGAATTAGCCACAGTGAAGAAGTTCATGTGTCTATTTTATCCTCCTTTTGAACAGGCCAAAGTTATGAATGTAGTTTAAAGGAGGAAAAAAAAAAAAAAAAAAAAAAAAAAACATGCCTGAGAGAAAGGGTTCAATTTCAAAACAAGGAAGAAAAGTACTTCGTCAGTGATTTTCAAAAACACAGGGAGGAGGAGGGGAATGTCTGATCAATGTTATAACTTGGTGAAACAGCAAACAAAAATGTGGGAGTAGGAATGACAGTTGTTAGTGTGTTAGTGGAAGCTTATCTACAAATTTCATCATTAACCGAAAGCTTTACTTTAATGAGGGTTTAAAACGATGACTGCTTATTCACCGTATTAATTAAAGTCTTAAGTTTGTTTATTTTTTTTTAGAGAGTATGTAGTGGTGGCTAATTTAAAAGAAATGTGTGGAAGCTGCTTTCTAATTGTAGCTAAAGAATGAGCAGCTTTTGCAGACTTTTAACACAACATCCCTGAAAAACCAATCTGGAATTAAATAAAGCCTGGATAAACAAACTTCTCATTGGCCTTGCACAAAACCTATAAAAGTCAGAATTGCAGCTGGACAGAACAGTGTCTTTTGAAGCTTTGCAGCAACATTCCTAAATCAAAATCTGTAGTTCAAAGCTGTTCACACAGGGAGTGTTCAGTTTCAGAAGTGGATGACATCACCCACTGTTCTGATTTACAAAGAAACTACAAAAATGGAATCATTCAACCACTGGGATCCCAGGATGAAGCAGACACTTGCAGCTAAAGCATTTCCTCATGACCATATGAAAACATATTAAAAAACTGAAAACCTGTCAGAGCACATTGAAGGAAATGCAACATAAACAAAGAGCTAAATTAAAATACTGGTTGCTAAAAGCACTAGCAAAGTTTAAAGCAAAGAAAGACTGTGAAAATCTTAGAGAAGGTATATCTAGGAAGAAAAAAAAAAATCTACCTCTGACAAGTATTATCCATGAAACAATAAGCAGCAAATCCAGCATAAAATATGTATATCTGAAATTATTTATCATAAAACCTATCACTAAACAACAAAAGAGGAATATTTCATATCAGCAGCTCTTAGTAAAAGCTAATAAAATGCATTAGATGACATAAAGAACACATCAGAGCTTGTTTTTATTTAAAAAAAATACAAAAAAAAGTATACAATGTACATTCAGCAAACTGACAAACTTCATGTTTTCACAAAGGCTAACGCAGTTTATGTTTTAAATTTGGTTTCAAACCAACAGAAAGGGGTTACAGTGTGCTGTGGGTAAATATACTAGTACTGGGAGCTGGAGCTGGTATTTTTTATGCTGCTGTTGTCAAAAGCTTTGTTTAAAAAGAGAGAGAGAGAGAGAGAGAGAGATGGTACACTGATTTGGTACAGCCTTGAGTACCAGTCAAACATTAACACTATTTTCTTCACTTTGTTTGCCTTCCTGCTTGCATTGATTGCTTTCTCCCTTCGTTACACCCACACTGCCTGACCTCTTCTTGCTCCTGCTCTCTATACTCCCTAAATTACCTACCCATATGCACTACATTAAAACATGTTATCATCTTCTCTTCCCATTACATCCATCAGAATTGTCAACTTTGCAAATTTACTGTGAGGGTCAAATAACTAATATTTCTCCACATGTCGCAGCTTATAGATTCATGCTATTAAGGGAGATTATCAACTTTCAGCACAAAAAGTTTCTAATGCTCCTATTTGCTGAGAAAGAAAGGGAAGCCCTAAAGACCAGAAAGTCTGGAGACAATAAAGAGATCATTAGGTTTACTATTTTTTAAATCTTGTAATTGTTACAAGCCTGCTTCTCAATCCTTGCACAAAGAGGACTGACAAGATTGACCCACATTTAGGGTGCTTCCTTTCCTACAGCACAGGTGCATTCCTCATCCTGCCCCATCACCCTGCTCCACAGACACAGGGGTCATCATCATTTTTCTGTGGTTGTACAGGATGCTCTTGATTTATAGTCAGCATGTCTAAGTGTTATAATGATTCAAATAATATATAAAAATGTTAGACAACTCATGGCCACTGACTTTCCTCCAGAGGAGGTGGGGAATCGCTGAACGCACCTCCCCACTGCTGAAAGCAGCCTGGTACTTACAACCTTCGTGCTGCTTGATGCAGATGGATGGCAGCAGAGTGTCAGGCCGAAGCCTGATGCTTTTTGGAAGTGCCCTGCTCCCTTTTTAAAAGTATGTGGCCCTTCACACACACTGCAAGCAGCCTCATCAGGCAGTTGACTAGATTATTTTTGAAGGTCCCTTCCAACTGAACTATTCTATTCAATTCTATTCATCAGTGTAGACTGACGGGAGGAAAAAGGATGGAAGCATGCCAAAACTGAGATCCAGTTGGCCAGAGTGTGGCTGCAATGGTTGGACCACCAAGGACTAATAATCATCTTTACAAATAGACTGCAGGCTACATTATAGCAACAGCTCCTCTCTTTCTGCCACACCTCCTACACTATTTGGACTCCCTAAAGAAGTTAAAATCCCATACCAAATGCTCTCTTCTGCAGACAGATCTCACCAGGAACAGCAGCCATCCCTGCCCCTGGTAGTGAAGAGACTCTATGATAAAGCTACTAGTTTTGCAGATAAAGCATGTATTGTCCAAGAGAAAATGCACATCTAATAAAAATGAGATTAAAAGTGCACTGATTAGCCTATGATGCAACTGCCACAACACCAGCCTGCAGGACCCCCATGACTCAGCTAGTATTTTTTGATTGTTGCAATTGTTGGTCACAACCTCACTGGTACCAGGTGTAGTGAGATTGAAGGTCTATCAGAAAGGGTCCTGTTTTTTTTCCCCTTTGTGACAACAGGCACCTGCAAGCCCACTAGGTTCTGAAATGGGATGCAAAGAAAGGAATATGTAGATAGCAATTAGGTAGAAATAAAGAATGCTACACACTAAATCTAGAGATGAAGTCTTTTAAACATGACTAAGACAAAAAATTCCCTTCTCTAGAAGTGACACTGAGGTCTGAACAGCATAGAACTGGCTCTTCCTAGAAAACACAGGCTGACTTCCCAGCCTGCATTATGATAAACACAAAAGACCATTTCAATTAACCATGGTCCAGTATAAAACAGGAAGTCAGGTAGTACGTATCTGAGGGCTATGTCTGGTGACATCAAAAGAAGCTTAGCCTCTTGCAGGCAGACAGTGAGTGCACTGTTCTGGAGCTTGTTCTCTCTGTCTTATTATTCTTATTTTGTCCTAGTTCTAGGGAAGACTTTTACCAGCTTGACAAATCACAAGGAGTTTTTACACAATGCTGATAGTGACTGTTCTGGTCTATACATTCCTCCAGTTGTTTTTTTCTAGTTGTGGGAAAAACTACATGGCCTTCTCCAATGAAAGGGGGTTATCCTCCTCATACATGAGGACGGAATTTGTTCCTGGGTTTACAAAACTCATGAGTGTAGTTCTGAGGATTACTAGCAAGGATTACGCAAGGAACTAAAAGAACTTTTTGACTGCAAGTCAGAAGTCAGAAATCCCTTCTCATTATATGAGGTTAATCTGGAGCAGTAAAAGACTCATAAGAGGAAAAGAGGGAATATTTGTGTCTCCAGCTTTCTTTCAAGTTATGGACAAAAGCAGTTTCTTCATTTTTCTATTTCTTTCTTTTTTTTTTTTTTTAACTTTTTTTTTTTTTTTTGGTTAATATATAACAGAAAGTAGTACATAAAAGGTTCATTTTCCGGGGGAGGGAAGGTGGGCAGTTTACATGTCAGGTCAAATTCAGATCCCATTACTCACATTAGCAAGCAGTTTCACAAAAGACCCCAGTTACTTCAGTGGGATTAATCACAGGGTAAGGTTCCTCTCAAACTGAATGAGTAGCAAAATTTGACTCTAAATTGCATACAGTTAGAAATCCTAGATAATGTATATAAATATACACCATCTCCACCAAAGATGAGCTGTAACAGTCAAAGTTCACTGTATTTTTGCATAAAATGTATATTTTGTTTCCTAGGAATCTTAAGTTTACCAGTCATTACAACACCATATGAAAAGGGTTTGAGAACATAATCTTCATGCAATTAGAGATAATCATCTAAAAATCTAAATATTTTCTTACATTAGTAGCAATGAGATATCTGAATGAAGTCATTGTAAAATGTCAGAAAATCTTACTTGGCTTAGAAGTTTAGAAACTCCCTTAGCATGTTCAAAATCCGGTCTTCCAAGTACAGCATGCTCCTTATTCATCTCCCCCCTTCCTTTCTTGTACTCAGCCTTAAAAAAAAATCATAAAAATGAATACAAATCACTATTAAATTGTTTGGTTTTGTGTTTTGTTTCTTTTTGTTTTGTTTTAGTTGTTTTTTTCAAGAGAAATGTAAGCACTACAGCTAGTAGAAAAGCTAGTCTCATTTAATGATCTGCATTGACACTACTCTCAGTAATATTATAATTAACTCAGAAAAAAAGCCCTTCTCACACTTCACCTCATTAAAAGCATAGTATTTACATGTATTTATTGTAAAACACAATGCAAAGCATTCATAAAATTCAACTTTAACAAAATGCACAGGTTAAGCCTGAGAAATACTGTTCACTTACTGCTCCCAATCAAGGCAGAATGAGTTACAATGGCTCAGCATTTCTTAAGACATGGTCTGCAGTTTACACAAGATTATTTGTAGTGGTTGAAAATAGCCTTGAAACAAAACTAGGCTGAGGGGCAGTGTTTTTGAAATACAGGTCAAATTCCACTCTCAGTTTTACCACTGTAATCTTGCTGGATGTCAGTAAGGTTGCATTGGTGTAACAGAGAGGACTTAGTCCCATAAGGCTGGTGTTACATGATCTTTCCAGCTGAACTACCTCCCATGCAAATTGCTGCATTTTCTTTTTCTTCCAAAATGCATTAGAAAACAGTACAGATGAACCAACAATAGGTTCTTTGCAATATCACAAACTAAATTACCATTGCATAAAGCAGGTTTCTTACATTACTCAGGCACTGTGAATCAGCAAGGACACGTCATAACAACAGAAAGAAAGAAAAGACCCAAAGCCACTCTAAGTAGCTTTTAGAGCAATTCAGAATTCTGGGCATAGAACATAAGACTTAGTAGGAGATTTTGGTTTTCAGAAAATGCTGAGTGTCCAAAAGGTGAACCCTTATGTCCCTTAAAGCTGTCTTTCTGTAAGAGACACCTCTCTATAAGAGATGCCTGATTAGTCTCAGATGAAACTTAGCCATTGTTGAAAATCTCAGCTCAGAACTTCTAATGTGTATATTGTCTATATTAAAATATTAAACAGCATTACACATTACTGCTTCTTAAACTGCTTCTTGACCTATCCCTTAGCAGATGTCAAAGTAGGAGGGAAAAGAATTTGAGACCAGGGTATGGGAAGGAGAGCCATGCACTCACATGGCTCTCACAAGGACAGTGGGAGATTGCATTTCCCTGCCACTGTCAGCTGACACAGAAGGAGGAAAGGGAGTCCTGGCATGGACGCTTCTCTTGTACTGGGGTGAACAGAGGTCTTGTGTGTCTTTTGAAGTGCAGTAATGCATACTAGCACGACTTCTTTTTAGAATCACTATTATTAACAAGGCCAAGACAAAATGAGATTTAGTAAACTTAACATTGTCTTCAGTCATCAATGCTTGCAAATGTCAAACTGTTAACATCAAAACAGAAGCAACTCATAATTTTGTGACATTCCAAGCAAGCCATCCCCCCACCAGTTCTCCATATCAGATTTAGCATGCCATGTTTTTTTCTCTTGCTAGGAAGTTTGAAAATTTCAGCAGCATTCTTACTGAATCTTGGAATTTGAATCTTACTGAAATTGGAAAAAAATAAAATAAAATAATGTCCAAAAAATACAAATAGAATAACAAAAGAACATACATCACTTATTATCTTTGTTATCTCGGTGGCTATCTTTATGTCTGGCCTGTTCAGCACTTCAGTGTATCTATGAGTATCTTGCACATCCTTCCTATATGACACCTGTCAAAATAATAACAAAAAATGTTTAAAACAAATGAAAAGTTTGAAATTTATAAATCATCTTCAAATGATCTATCAACTCAGCCACGAAATTCACTAAAACACCACCTAATTTATTCTAACACAGTCCTGCTTGACAGAGATTATTTATTAAGACCCACACACAGGTTAACAGGATAAAGAAGACATTCAAAAGCATAAAATATAGTATTAAAATGAAAAACATTTTTGGCTTAGAAGCACAGTAGAAAATGAAAGCACTGCGAAGACCCAAATATTAGGTTTCATCATTGAATTTCAGAGGAATTCTAAGAGGATAGGTTTATGTGTTTTTTGTTTGTTTGTTTTTTCTGTGCTATACCTTTTTTAATATAAACTAATACCTCTATGATATTAAGCACCAAGGATCACAGTTACACTGTGGAGAGACTGTAATTCTACCACAGTGAACGTCTCTCAGTAACAGGCAGTCATGTAGCTGGTATGTAATTAAATGACACAACTCCACCCCAGCACCCCAGACTTCTCCCAGCTCCACTTATCTGCTACTTTACACAATCATGGGAACAAGAAGGCTGAGTGTTCCAGCATGTGGAGTACAAGACTGGATTTTTCTGTTTATGCAGAGGCCACTATAATAACGAACGGGCTCAGAAGACTTTGGCCAGAACACTAAACCACAAGTAGAAGAGCCCAAAAATTATCCCTTTAGCAAACCAATCACAGAAACTGCCTAGATGTCAGAGACACTCCAAAGCTCCCAGACCACAAGTTTTCTTTCTTTTCCCTGCTCTAGGTCTATAGACTTTTTTCCCTACCTTGCCATATTGCATGTGTGTCAATCCAAGCCAATTCCCAAGAGCTGTCATCTTAATGAATTATTCTAAGAAAATCAACACTAGTATTCAAAAGTATCTGACAAGTTGAAGTTCCATGCAGAAGTTGGAGAACAAAGTCAACAGGAGACAGAAAGCATCAGAATAATTCCTATTTTATCAGACAGTCTTTTAGACTATTTTTCTGCTTATTAACAGTTAATTGACCTCCCAAAATTGTATTTCACCATCAAAAACGTCCCAAGAGGTTCCCTCAGCTTGAAGCTTCACTTATAATAACCTGTGTATCTGTCTCCTGTTTCCAGTGCAGTTTTACTACGGACACAGTGCAACATATTGAACTGCAAGTCTGTCAATCATAAAGTGGAATACCTAGTGACAAATATAATTCGTAGAAATGTTATATAAAAAAAATAATTAAAAAATTACTTTAGGGCATATATTTTGTAGGCAACAGGGAAGTCATTTTGCATCCATATGGCTTCAGCTAAGTAGACAAGCTAAATGGGCTTTGCTCTGTTGGCTGTTTGCCCACAGATAGTTCTTATAATTTTTAACCTACGCATGGCACACAAGTTTAATCAATGATTAAAAAAAAAAAAATTGAATGAATATAGCCCAAAGTATCACCTACCAATAAAATAAAAGCTGTTTCTTATAGCTCGTTAAAACCACTGGAAGTTTTGGTTTGGTTTGGTTCAGGTTTTTTTGTTGTGTTTTTTTTTGTGTGTGTGGTTTTTTTTTAAGACACTAGATGTACAGACAAGTATTTGCAATTCAGGGCTTTACATGAATTTAGTTAATTATATGCTGTTCATCCTAATGACCACATGAGGTGAGGTGAAAACCACAGAGGCAGCCAAACAGGTTTCTGAATAGCACCCTATCATCCATGTAAATTGCAAATTAAAGGCCAGCATATGTGCTCAAAATAGAAATTAGGAATGGAGTGAATTTAACAACAGAGAATCAAGAATAGTGGTGATAAAGTTGAGGAAATGTGGTCAATTATTGCTCCCAAATGACATGATCATATAGTACATGAAATAATGGATTGTGGTTAATTTGGGGGGGGGGATAAGACAGTGACAGTCCTTTATATTTCACCATTTTCAATTATATTAGATGCAAGGCCAATTGCTATAGCTTTCCCTGAGTGAATTATTATTCTTCCTGCACCTAAACCAGTATACCTATTACTTATGTCTGAGGGAAAGTCATCTAACATTTTACAAATGTCTGCAATATATATTTGCTCCATTCTGCAGCTTGTCATACTCCGGTGAGAATAAAAATGTTATGCAGCAGAACAGTAGTTTGTCAGAGGTAGGCCAAAGAAAGAAAAAATATGTTTCCCATTTCCTGAATAACCTCAATCCCTGGATGCTGACCCTTTCCCATTGGGACAGTGTGCTGGCCTCTATTACACAGCTGCTATTCTGTTCCATCTAGTGATTTTTTTTTTTATAGTGCTATGTTAGAACAGTAAAAGGAAAGCTATTCCATGAGAGCAGGGGAACAGATGTAGAAACGGCAAAGAAGCCAGCATGGTGTGTACACCCATAGGTACCAAGAAGATGGGAGGTGGAGAAGCCTATGAGAGGGGAAAAGAGAAAGAGCAGCCTGATCAAGCGAAAAATAAAGGAAAGCAGCAGGAAACGAAATAGCAGAAACACCCAGGGAAGGGGCTATCTTTTCTCCTGGGTTTGTTCAGCCCCTGAGCAAACAATTAGCAAGAGGCTCAGACCCTGACTAGCACCTCCAGGCATTACACAATGCCCTTACTCAATCTTCACTTCAAGGGGATGCTCAAGTTCTACCGAAACCATCACTAGATGCTCCAGAATTGCTCCCTTTTGTGAGGACTACAAGTCTGTGAAACATCTGCTCAAACTGGCCAACATACAGGAAAAAGTAACTAATATGCTAACAACATAAGAGCAGCAGGGAATGACCTAAACGGAGACCAGTGGGAAAATTGAGCAAGAAAGAAGTAGGTACAAAAAGGAATAGACTTCTGTCATCTCTAGTTTTGAAGATGCAAGTACTAAATTGCAAGCAACAACTAGATTTGAAGTGTTTTTCTACCCTATTTTTTTCTACCTATTTTGAAATGACAATAAAAAGTGATTTTTTTAAAGCATCCATTAAACTATTGAATTAACGATAATCTCAACAAAAGCCACTTTGCATCTTTAATCCCAAATTTGATTACACACCCTGAACTGCCATTATTTTTTGCAAAGCATGGAAAATATTCAGAGGCTGCTTATAATTAGCAGACTAATTTTAATAGGGCCAAAGCTCCAGCTCTTCTGAAAAGGCATAAGGTCTACTTAGGATAAACGTGCGGGTCTATTTACTCCAGCTAATGGTCCTGAAGGTGCTTCACCTTTCACGGTGGCACCAGTTCATTGGGATGCACTACAACATTGCACAGGAAACACATTTTGAACAAGGCTGCAAAACATCTCGAATTGTCAAACAAATGGGAACTTCTGCTAAAACCAAGCACACCTAGGCTTAAGAGACTAAGATCTTTCTTGCAATCTTTTGTCTATTCCAATTCCAAAGCTACTCCAATCTATATTTATCAAATTACCAATATGTGCACAAGTAGATAGGGACACATTTTGCCCTCTTGAAATCCACACACACAGAAGTCAGCAAGGAGTTGAGTACACCTACCTGTAAAATAATTTGTCTCTTACTGTTTGTCCCTGCTTAGTATTTTCAAATAGAAGCAAGTCCACTTACTAATGGTCTTTCATTGGTGTCTCTGCCCCCTTTTCTCTCATCTGCACTTTGGGGTCCATCAACACTAAGAAAATGACTAACTGGTGACAATCATCATTGGCAACAGCTTTTCTGATCCCCACTCAAATGGCGTTGAAAACTGTTTCCCGGCTCATGTAGAAGAGACAAACACATTTCTGGCCCATTACAGATTGATGCAGTCATCCTTTCCAGTAATGGGCTTGAAAATTGATTGGTCCCAATTACATCAGGAGTAAACACATCATTTTCAGCACCAGTTGGAAGTGGTCCAGGGGGACCTGCTGTTGACAACCACTGTCAGCAGAAAGTTAGTCAGTGAAAGGTGATTTTTTCTAATGCAAATGCAGAACAGAGATCCAGGAGAAGCTTGACTTTAAGATGATCTGCATCAAAACAAACGTCAACATCTTGGTATTGATGGTGCTTAAGCACACCAAGTTTAAGATCTGCTGATTTTGTCTTATCAGAAAGAATGTATTTTTTGTGTGTGTGTGGATTGTGACTGTGCAATATATCAAATATGGGAAAAGTGTACTTCTAAGACAATACAGGCTTCTTAAGTATTCAAATATAGAGGTCAATGGAACATCTAAAATTATGGCCTCTGACATCATTTGGACTGCAAAGACCATATATATATGAGTGTGTGTGTGTGTGGCTCCAACCTCAGAACTTCAAACTACTTTTTAAATGCCCATAGATGATTCTTTTTTGCTGTTTGTAAAATCGGAACACCAGTTAGCTATTTCATACAGGGTAACACTGCAAGGAAAATCACTGATTTTAACAACACTCTATATAAACTGCTACATAAATAAATAATACTGTTTTGCTATTCGTAATGATCAGTGATGGACCAGGTCACAGAACAGAAAAAAAATGGTATCTGCAGCTTTGACTATATTCACCGAATGCTGTGTGCAGCTTCTACCCAAGCAAAACACAGCAAGTACTTTCCTTTCTTCAGAAACCTAATGGAATATCATTTCACTGTTCGATTTCTTTCTTTCTTCCATCCATTTGATCCTCGGCTACACCGATGAAGAACTACTGTTTTGTGACCAGACAGTTTTCTACACAACACCATCTAATGTTGGTCCCAAGTTTGGAAATTTCCAGAAGAGACAAATGACATCAGCCAAGCACAAAGAAGGTTGATGGTCCCTACTTCACAGATCTCCAAATGCTTTTGCATGCCCAGGTCACATAATTAATATTGACTTCACAAAACAGAAACATAATTTATAGATAAAAGTACTCTGGCTTGGATTAACATGCTTTCACTAAAGCATTGTGTAGTATCTAAATTATTTTTCAAGTAAATTCCCTATCATTAAAAAAGTCACTTTTGTTCTTTTGAGAGCAATTTTCTTCTGTGGAAGAATGAAGAGAAAAATGTTTTTCTTATACATGATCACGTTGTTCAGGAGATTTTACAGTATTTCCCTATTATGCAGCTTCAACCCACGCTTATACAGCGTGTTAATGATATTCAAAGTGGTGTGAAGGCCTACAGCACATGACAGTTTCAAAATGTCAGCACAAATGCATTGTAAGTTGAATACAGTCTTAATTTTTAAAGGAAATTGCACATTTCACAGAGTTGAGTATAAATGTCAGCCTTATTTTAAGGCTGAGTAAATAGTCTTAAACACATCCTAATCCTATTAGATGCAAACCCTGCATGTAAAGGTTGAATTGAGTTGGCAGACCATTGTAGGTAAACATGCATTCTGCTCCCATAGGTATACCGTACTGAGTGGTGGATAAAAGAGCTTTGTCCTTCTATTCCCTCTTTTTACACTGCACTTTCAAAAATGTGATTCTACAAATAGCCTACATTCTAAAAGAAAAACACTCCATATTTGGGATGCTTGTTATGCCATACTCTGACTTACAGATGAAAACCCATGCAGCTCTTAATTAAACCTTTACTTTTAAAGCAAGAAATCCATAGCCTATATTCAGCATGGTGCTCAGTTACCCACAGGAGTTGTGTAACTCTGATGAACAATAACTGGACTTACACAACTTCACGTGTGATAGAGATATATCCCCATTGCACTAAAGCTCCCTGTGAGCGTCCAGAAAGAATCTCTTCTTAAATAAATGAAACTAACTGGTTAGAGTTTTATGTTGGATTTAGAGGTTTTGTTTGCTTAGTTTTTTTAAGCTTGTTCAGGCTGAAAACACCTTCCATCATATATTTTAATTATTTTAACATGCTGTTAAAAGTTCTCATTTATCCCTCCTATCCTTCTCTCCTATGTTTGCCTTCATTTCATTCTTTTATTGTTTTAAGAGTGAAAGACGACAAAACAACTGAACTTAATTTACTCTCACATCTGTACCCTGATCTCCTTCTGTTAGCAGGTGATGTACAGCTGTAAAAGGGGAATGGGTTTTGCACTAGCACACTAATCCACAGACCATGACGAATTTGATTCCAAAACTAGTCTCACATTCCTCTTGGTCCCACTAACTACTCTGAGAGGGATTCCAGCCTCTCTTCCCAATGTTATTTCCTTCCCTAATAGTCTGCAATCATTCCTGGGGTTAGGTAAAAACAAACTCATGCTTATGTGGAGGGAAGTTCACATTCCCAGCTCACATCCTCTGTCAGTCTGATATCCTGATGCTTCTAGCAGCGGAGATGGCCAGAATTTAACAGGAAGAGGGAATTCTGTAATCAAGGCAGGTTGCAAATCACTTCTGGGAGTTCCAACTCAGGTATTTCCCAGCAGAAGAAAAAGTTATTCTTCAAACATAATGCTTCCCTGAAGTTTTCCAGCAGCCTTTTAATCAGCAGCCAGCTGTCAAGGTTCTGCACACATGGACATACATCTAACATTGACATTTAGCTTTCAGCCTGCATAACCTATGAGTGTTTGTTACACTCTCAGTATGGAAGATAGGGTAAACTTAAGATAATTCAAAATGAACACCTAAGCTTCATTTTCTATATTATTAGAAGCAAAAAACTGTCCCATTTGTCTGAGAAACAAGAGAGTCATAAAATCATATACTTACCTGCCTTGACTTTGTTGCCTAAGCAGAATATAAATTGATCATAACTTTGAAGGTTATGTTCAACTTTATAGGTGTCAGCTGTTCTTAGTGGCTTTGAGGCCCTTAAAATTTACTTTTCTCATAAGTAAACTTATACAAAACCTAAGACTAACATATATTTTTCTTCAAATCAGTGTTTGTAAAAATAGAGCATAGCATAAAAGACCACAAAAATCAAAACTGACTTTAATAAAAAAGAAAAAAAAAAAAAAAACTATTATTAGGCTTTTATATTGTGAAAACATAGAGAACTTCAGGAAGATAACAAGCAGGTTTTGTTTGGTTTTTAAGGAATGGAAAAGAAAAAAAAAAAAAACACTAAAATATATAGCTAGACAATCTAATTTATTTGTGAATTACTTAAGTAAACTAAGATAACAAATATTTTGGTCAATGGCATAAGCTAGAATTATGCATCAAACAACTCTCTGGATCAGATTCTATAAAAATCAGTCTGAAATTTTTCTTTGGAGCTCACTTGGGTATGTATTCATGAGGTGGGAACAATGTAATTCGTGTGCATAAAAGTGTGCAATAGCAGTGCAGAAATAGCCCCCTTTTCTCCTCTAAACAGAAATGTTATTAAAAAAAAATCTAAATGTTATTTTAAAAGTGTAAGACACTGAAGCCATACTGCTGTTCCTGTAAACAAAGACCTTTATACAGTTTTAAAGTACAAGTACACATTAATTTGGAAAATCTCTTTTACAATTTTATTTCAAATTGGTATCAGCAATATTTAATAACAATAAAAATGACTATTCATTGTTTAAAATGACCTTTCAATGCTCTTTATCATAAATTGCATGGCATTACCCATAGCATATTTTATGCACACATTGTGTCCCACAATATTTAAGAGCACATCTGTAAAGAAAAATGAACTAATGAAATATGAAAATATTCCATGCTCATCTCATAGCAGTTAGCTACACTAGATGTATAAACTCAAAACAAATGAACCGATTTCAGATGGGGGAGTACTTACATCACTCTGGTGTTTATTGACTTCCATGGCATGCTTAATATCCGGAGGCTCCTTCATATGTGCGTAATCTGAAGTTCCTTTCTCAGCATCATATTTTTGTTTATACAGTACCTGAAAAAAAAAAACATCATACTTTAGTGACCTCAGTAGAGGAGGTATAATATCATGAGCTGGTCTAAAGCTAGCATTGTAGTGTGCCTGTATTCAGGAAGAAATGTAATAAATTATTAAGCTCCTTAATGGAACCAGAACCCTAAAACAATAGCAGTTTCTGCCCAAAACAGACACATGAGGCACAGGCAGCAGAGAGATTTCTCTAAGTCTAATATTGCAACAGAGGTATGAGTAGGCAGGAGGAAGAAAAATAAATATACACATACAGAAACAGAATATTAACCTTAACAAGGTGAGAAGACAGCCCAGAGAATAGCATAAGGGATTTTTTTTTCCCTTAAAACATACATGAATCTGTCAGCTAAATAAGTATTCACAAACAAAAATGAAAAATATTTTCATTTTTTTCCTGTGTTCAGGAAAAAAAGGGGGGGGGGGAATTTTGTGCATGCCTTGTAAGTGAACAGGTTTACATGAAATACTCATAGCTCAAACATCAATTTCCTCCACTGTTAGGAAATTACTATCACAATACACATTTGGACTAGCCCCTAGGTTCACAAAGAAAAATAATATTTACATTCAATTGTCATCATGGTAAAGGAAAATGGAATTGGATTGTGAGTTTATAAACAAATTTATTTTTACAATAGAAACTGAGCTCAGTGTTGGGCATTCATCCAGATTTCCCTGTACTGTACTCTGCTATGCTTACATACACATACACTCACATAGTGGAACTGCCTGAAAAGCTGATGTTGCACTTAGACTTGTCATAAGCTTTTAGGCTTACATTAAGAAAATTCACCAGGTTTAGATGCCTGAAAAAGCAGCAAGCAGTGAGCAAATTCATCTTCTAATAGAGCTCTCAGGAGCAAGCATTAAAATAATCCCCAAGAAAACAGCAAATACTAAATAAGATTGAAAGCTGATCAGGAGGAGAAGGATTTGAAACTAAAATCCTAAATAGCAATAAAAGAATACTGTGAAAGTTTTGAGGGAAGTCTTAATTGTGGTGATTCGCACTCTTTTAGGACAGGATACTAGAACTGTGAGAAAATGTCTTATCTGTTTATTTTTAAGGCTGCAAGATTGCATCTGAATCACAGATAAGGGTGCCCGAGGCAATATATTAATATCTACTCTATCTCAGATTACAAAATGATATATATGCCGAGAGATTAAGACAAAAAGGGTTGCTTGGTGGTATTTTTAGTTTTTTGTTTTGTTGTTTTGGGGGGGTTTGGGGTTGTTTTTTTTTTTTTGGTTGGCTGGTTTTTGTTTGTGTTGTTGTTGTTTGTTTGTTTGGGTTTAATTTACACTGATACTATACGAATGAAAGAATCAAATTAGGAAGCTTAAAATATGCTTACACAGTGCAAATCCAACACGATCAGGTCTCTGGGGAAAGACACACAACTTAAATTGAAACAACCAAAATGTCTATAACCTCCCTATATTGATTACGTTTTGCAACTGGCAAAGTAAATGATCCTTAGGAAGATGGAAGAATCACAAATGAATGATCAGCTGCAGAAGTATAGTAACAATATAAACATATGCCACAAAAATGTTTTTGCTACTTTCCACATTTGAAATGGTCACTTTTAAGATGCTTCCCATTCTGAGAAGCCAACCCAGACATTTTTTTTGTTTCTGAAATTCTATAATTTACAGATACTGCAATACACTGTCACATTGCTCATTCAACATCTACATGTACATTTTTATGTTGGTGTATGAGCTATGAAAATAGAAAGACATCAAAAATCAAAAGCAATCAACTCCCACCACAAGAAAACTAACAGAAATTGCAATTGACTTTCCACTATCTTGAAAAAATAAGACTGTTTCTTTTGCTTAATGTAGGAATACCTGATTCACTATTTCACAGCCACATTCTTCCTAATCTTTTCACACTAATCTTATTAACTGACTTTGGAACCTTGAAAGAATCACAGATTCTGCCAAGTTAAATAACTGTCTAGTTATTGAACAGTTGTGCAGAAATATTCCCAAATTTTTAAATCAGTTCCAAGCAAATATGCAAAAATATTTACAAGGATTACTTCATTAATATTATTAAAACTAGTGTTTTATGTTACTATTTATTCCACATTTCATACTGAGTTTCCAGGCTTGAAATTTTATTTATCAAATACATATATGAAAAAGTACTCCACAGAGATCAATAACAGGTCACTCATGTAACCTCTGCTCTGGAGCAGTACATTTAATAATTTCGGTAATTCCATTATTTAGGTATGACTTCAGTTTGAACTGATTTGTAACTACTTATTTTTTATTTTCCTTCTCTCTCTTGTACACCAGTGTGCAAGAGGTGAATTAAGGAAGGTTTTATGCTCTTTTAACTTAACTCTGACTCACCATATGCAGTTGTAACACAATATGATTGTAAATGATGAAGTAAACCATAAAAATAGTTTTATCATACTAACAAAAGTACATTTGAACATAAAAGAAGGAATCTGTCCACAAGTAAGAAGTTGAAAATATTCCTTAAGATTCATTTGTTTTATCATCTTTACAAACAAACAGAAAATGCTGTTGAGAATTGACATATAGTTACCGTTTGAGATATTGCACTGTGCAAAGGAAAATTAAACTGCCTTCAGTTTGCGTTAGATTACTCCTTTCAGATAAGAAAAACACTGCAATCTCTTCTTACAGTAGAAATAAAATGATGAAACACACCTTTTTTTTTTTCAATATTTTTTTCCCTCCCAAGCAATGTTAAATATTTTTATCATTGTTTGTGACAACTCATAAAAAAAATATCCAGGAAGAACTCTTATGAACACATACTGGTGTTCAGACAGGAGAAACACTTGGCACAAAGCTAGCATTGTTCTGAAAATTTTCTTCAGAAATACTTTCCGCAGGAAGTTTGCGATTTTTCTATAAAATGTCAATTTCCTCTCAGGAAAATCAAGATGTCTTTTTTTTTTTTGGATTTTTTTTTTCAGAGAACAGAGACATTAGTGAGAGTTTTCAGGCTGGCAACTCATGCATGGGAAGAAAGATTCTCTCTCTGGCTTACCCTGGGAAGAGCTATGAAAAGAGAGAGAGGGAGGAAAATCTCACCCTCAAGAAAGTCATTTAGATTATTACAGTCAAATTTTCTCTGTTAAGGGAAAGCATGAAACTGATAAAACCCACCCAAGTATGTGGGGTTATGAAACTTCATTTTCGTATTTTAATTCTCCTGAAACACTTTTTCCGTAAATAGCGTCATTATTTTTTGTCCAAAATCTGCTTAGGTTTCCTTCTCTATGAATATTTATTCCTATTGTCATGCCAGCTTTATGTAAAACACAGAAGAGCAAACATGGGCTTTACATAAAAGCCAGAAGAGGCTGTCTTGTTTTAGTCTTTCCTGTAGATCTTGAAAAGGGAAATAAGCATGAATCTATACAGCAAATATGTGGAGAAAGTTCCACAGGAGGAAAACCAGAGACACCAGGGTGATGTACTCTCCATTATGGTAAGATCCTGCAAGCACTGGCTCACACTGTATGGCTGGAATCCCACAGAGTAAAGTTCTTGCTCCGCTGAAGTCAATGGCAATTGCTACACAAGTGGTGCTACAGCAATCTGTTTTGGTGACAACAGCAAAAGGCAGCTGCAGGTAGGAAATAACCTCTTGCTATAAAAAATAAAAATAAATAAATAAATAAATAAATAAAAAGAGAAAATTTCTTGGTTGCCTCTAAGTTCCTGAATCATCAATGTGATCTGAAAGAGTGCATAAAATTCATAAATTGTGCTAGATCTAGGAAAACGGAGCTGCTGGGCAGTGGCAGTACTGCAGCACCAGTATCAGGGCCAAACATTCGTGAGAGAGACCATTTGCCAAGCATACATCTGTGTAGGAAGTCACGGGGCAGAAGCAGACCAGCATCTGCAGTCCCATGGCAGCAGGTAGCAGCAGGGGAGTCGGTGTTCTCTTTCTTCTGGTCTGTGGTAAAACCACCACATCCCCAAGTCCTGGCACACCTGCTTGGCAGATGAGACCACAGGCCCCACCAAGAACACAGTACCACAGAGTGAGAGAGCACCTGTGATGTTTGGATACAAAGGCACCTGGCCTTGCATCCAAGGAGCATGATGAGGAAGTCAAACGTGTAAACTTGTTCTAACAGGAATGGGAAAGAGGACACATAGCCACATTTTTCTAATCTCAGGAAATAAGCACCTATTTAAAATCTGCTTCTTAAAACTTAGAAAGCAGTTCTGGGCTTGTAGGGGCCTTGTTGCAAGAGGGCTGTCACGGCAGCCAACCAGCGCTGTGCTCCCCCTGCGCCCTGTGAGCTACTCTTGGTCTTCCCTTGCAGAATTGGTGACCTGTAAATCAACACTCCTGGCAAGAAGGATGCAGCAGAAATCCTCTCTACGATATCCTGACCCAGATGAAATTTGAAATCCTTATATTAGCTACTTAGGTACCACAGTGATAGGCACAATATGGATTAGATTTGAATACTGTAGAGAAGATTTTCCACTAGAAAATCCCCTAGGATCTCTCTCAAAGTAGCATTAAATTCAGGTCCATTGCAACTGTAACCACAAGTTGGAAAAATGTGTCAGCGTATCTTTAAGTTTTATGGTAGATTATGATTTATAATGCATCTATTCCTACAGGGATGGAATGAATTTTACAGGAAAAAGTTCTGCTTTAATATAACTCATCCTATATGCATATTTGTTTCTCTGTGACTGTTGGATGATTGTAGAAAAGTTTCAAAAATATCAAATGAAAATGTCGGTCTTTTCCTTATAAGTTTTTTCCATGAATCAAATGCTTTCATTTTCAGTCTCAGTTATTTATCTTTTCTGCCATATCACTGATGTTAATTAACCTCATTTGCGTAAACTAAAGTAGAATGTACTCATTTGGAATTAATCCAGGAGTAAATCCCGTCATAAACTAGTAAACTAATGTTTTATAAATCAAGCTAACTGTTTTAAAATGTTATAAAAGTTTAATTCCCAGTTTATTTCTACTGTAATTCTTCTATTCATTCACTTTACAATGAAATGTGACACTAATGTTATTTTAGCTACTGTGTTGCTTTAAAGTCAATACATACATATATGTTCCATTTCAAACTATGAAAAGTAAAATACTTTATGTTATTATGTTTACTTATTATAACCTTGTTTTAAATCTAATCATTCCTCTAGAAGCTGTCCTGAGATTTGTGTTTTCTTTTGTTATATTTTCCCTTGTTTTGTAGGGAAAAAAATATAGAGAGAATGAATATTGAGATAAAATCATAGAATCATTAAGGTTGAAAAAGACCTCCAAGATCATCTGGTCCAACCATCACCCACTAAACCATGTCACTAAGTGCCAGTTTCCTTGAACACGCACCCCCCCCAGGTACAGTGACGCCACCACTTTCCTGGGCAACCCGTTCCAATGCCTGACTGCTCTTTCTGAGTAGAAATGTCTCATAATTTCTAACCTAAACCTCCCCTGTCACAACTTGAGGCCATTCCCTCTAGTCCTATCACTAGTTAGCTGTGAGAAGAGTCTGACCCCTAGCTCCTCACAACTTCCTTTCAGGTATTTGTAGAGAGCAATAAGGTCACCTTTGAGCCTTCTCTTCTCAAGACTAAACAACCCCTGTTTCCTCAGCCACTCCTCATAGGATGTGTTCCAGGCCCTTCACCAGCTTCGTCGTTCTTCTCTGGACACAATCCAGGGCCTCAATGTCCTTCCTGTACTGAGGGGCCCAAAGTACTCTGGCCTCACCAGAGCAGCATACAGGGGAACAATCACTTCCCTGGTCCTGCTGGCTACACTGTTCCTGGTACAAGCCAGGATGCTTTTGGCCTTCTTGGCTACCTGGGCACACTGCCAGCTCATGTTCAGATGAGCATTGATTAGCACCCCCAGATCCTTTTCCTCTGCACAGCTTTCCAGCTGCTCTGCCCTACAGGGCTACCCGCTGGTGACCAGTTGCCAGCTGGATTTCACTCCATTCACCACCACTCTCTGGCGCCGGCTGTTCGGACAGTTTTTAACATAGCAAAACGCGTACCTGTCCAAGCCATGGGCTGCCAGCTTCTCCAGGAGAATACCATTGGAGACCATGACAAAGACCTTGCTGAAGTCTAGGTAGACTATGTCAACAGGCTTTCCCTCATCCACCAGGCGGATTACCCGGTCAGAGAAGGAGATGAGGTTGGTCAGGTAGGACTTGCCTCTCATGAATCCATGCTGACTGGCCTGATCCCCTGTTGGTCCCAGATAAATTGCATGATTGCATTTAAGATGACCTGTTCTATCACCTTCCGTAGCACCGAGGTCAGGCTGACATGCCTATAGTTCCCCAGGTCAGTATCAATAGTATGGTTTTAGGAATATGTTCATTTCACAGACTTGCTCTATTAAACTATATATAGTTTAAGAGAGGAGAAAGGCAGAATGAGAACATTGAGATGCTTGGTGCATGAGAACCATGATGTTTTATCAGTTGTAACTGCCATGAATAAGAATCAAAATCTACATCTTCATTATATTACACATACTTACTACTCAAAATTCCACCAAGATCAATGGAAACTAAGGATCGTCTGCCTGCTTTAAGGGTATTACATCTTTAAGTCCCTGGACTACTGTTTTACTGATTGCATGTTGTATGCTATGTTAAATACACTTGATTTTATATTTTTAATTCTATGGAATTTGTTGTCAGTGGTGGTATGTGAATGATTAATGACATCAGAAATATTTTCCTGTTACCAATGAGTGACTTTAAAAGTCATTAAATGTACAGTTTTTTGTGTTTTTTTCCACTTCAAACATTTTTAAAAGTTAACACAACACTTAAGTTGAAATAGTTGTTATATACAATTTGTTTATTCCATAAACACAATGCAACATCACTAAATTCAGTAATTCTTTAGTGCATTTATGAGTTGCTAATGGATTTTTTTGACTGATGACTGCCCATTTTTAAACTTATATTTAGTAAACATAATGGGTCAGATTGTCAACATTTTAGAATTGAGTAGTTCTTGAAGTTAAGCAGTTATAATGAAAAACTCTGGATGATAAACCCACCCAGATAAATCAAGAAGGTGATCAAGTAGCCATTCAAAAGCATTGCACAAATTGGTTATATTTTGTCCCACAATTAATATACAAATCATTTTTACGATTTTAAAATTGCACCTTGCTCTGAAGCTGAGTTAATTCTTTTGCAAACACACTGTCGATTGTGGCTGGCATCTGCTGATAAAGAGTGTTGGAAAGGCCTTTCTTAGCAGCTCCTTTGTACTTCACCTGCAGGGGATAAAAAAGTGACACACAATGAAAAGTTGTCAGATAGAGTAATCATACTACATATTTTTCCTATTAAAAAATGGCACCAAGAACATTAGAACTGGAAAAATCTAATGCTGTCTTATAAACTGTCAAGCAAAACCATTTTTTTAAATAACAGTTTTAAACTACTTTAAGTGGATGTATCTAATTCAGAAACCAATACAAAGTACCTGCTAATTAAATTAGAATTTGAGGGGAAAGTACTAAGGCAAAGCAGATTTTTTTTCTACATTTTACTAAATCATTAAAGAAAAATATATATATATATATATATATTTTCTCATTCTGTTTTCTGAATTCTTGGAATGAGAGCAGTGAGTTGTCAATAGAACAATATTTTACCAACTACTATGTACTAGCAGTTAAATGTAAGTGGAAAAGACAGGAACATTGAAGACATTGAAAACAGCATGATTGTCACCATTTCTATTTAATCTTCTCATGTTACAGACTCAATTTTAAATTCATTTCTATTTCTCCTGTGCTTCATCAATGTTCAGCACTAGCAAAAGGGCCTTGTGAGAACAGCCAGAATAATAGTTCAAAATCTGTGAGGCTTTGCTTCAGATCTAAGTTTTTCAAGTTTTAAAAACCATGTCAGTTATTGCTGTAAAAGTATTCATATATATCAAAGATATATTAAATGGTGCTGCCTAATGTCTTTAGCTGCCTGTGCTCTATTTATCAGAGACTAGTTTCCTGTATGTATTACATATATCAATAATTTGTTATAGCATGTGTTGATGTTTCCAAAAACAGAGGACTATTTTTGCTGCTAAGAGAGAATTTCAGAAGTGTTCATGTTTTGCAGAAACAGGTTATGGGACACTAGAGGTCAGTAATTTACAAGATAAACCATCCATCATATTATTGCATTTAAGTAGAATATCTAGCTGCAAATAGGAAAGAGTGCACAACGAGATAATATGAAACACACTTTTTTTTTGGTTTTGAAATATTCTTATGACTCTAAATCTTTGACTAATGATTAGCAGTAGATTCAGTATCTGACAAACAGATTCTATAAATACCCTCTCTGTATTGTGCTTCTGCAGACACAGTAGGCAACAGTCTCTTTTATAAAGTTAATTTCATCACATCTATGCTACTTGGGAGTTGCCACTCCTTCTCAGAAATATGAAGATAAATATAAGAAAAATATTCATCAGATGCATTTATATTCAAAGTAGCCATACAGCAAACAGATGTATATCAGAAACAGTATACAGAATGTATAAATTGTGTAACTCCAAACCTTGGGGAACCCTTTATTACAGTTATAAAAGGTAGCAAAATAAATGAGGCATTCAAGTCTTCCAAAGGTTACAGTGACAGACGAATCACTCAGAAGCAAGAATTCCATAACAGAAGTAAGTGTCAGGTAAAACTCCTGCTACTTTTCTTAAGTACAAAAAAATATATATATAATTAGAGATGCAATCCCCTTATACCTGGGATATGAAGTGCAGGGAGTAAACTGTGCTCTACCATTTTGGAAGCTGCCATTTTTCTTGGCACTACAGTAATATTTGAGTGTGTGCACATGCCCATTTATACACAGACACCTAAAAACCCACAAATGGGTATGCATATTATAAATGCATACATTCATTCAAGTACTAGGTGACCTGTGGATGGCCTTTACCCAATCTGTGCCTCATTTGCCTTGCTCAAGGGCAGGTGTAAAAGGACACAGTAAAAGGTCCTTTTCTCCTCCTGTTTGACAGTCAGGCTGTCAATTCTCCCCAGCAAGGCACCTATGCACAGATGTAATTTGCAAACATCATCATGGCAGAGTAACAACAAATCTTATTCCTGCTCCTCAGTTTATCTATCTATAAAATGGCACAGTTATGACTGCCTCAGGACCATAAATAAAATACCTTGGAATTCTGGAATAAAAGTTTTGTATACTTACAAGTAATTATTACTCACATATACATTATACAGTAATAATATATAGTGCTTTAAATTACACCAACTTTAAACAGAGTTATTCTTTGAAATAAACCATCCTTCCTCATCTGGTAAATATAATCTTCAATACACAGTGTCTTTATGAAGAATAGTAAGTGAAGAGACTTCTTCAGTCTTTTAGGTCTTACCTCAGAAATAAAAGCACCAAGACTTTTCACATGTTTTAACTGTGGGGTGTCAGGTACAAATATGCATTTGCCCTTAGATTTTTCAAACTCTTCTTTATAGTGTATCTACAAAGAGGAGAAAAGAGAAGTTCAGTCATTCTTTAAAAGAGAAAAAAATAAAATAGCTAGTTTTATTTAACCTATTTTGTTTATTTATTTATTTGTGGATAACATGCTGGGTGGCTTGCAAACATTTCAGGCTGGATCAAATTAAGCCACACAGGAAAATACTCAGTTCCAGGGCAATACACAGAACCAGGGCATGTAAAAGTCACAGAACTCTTTAATATTAAAGATGAAAAAGATATAATTTTTCCCTATATCTACAGCACATTTTTTTCCCACTATCTGTAGATGTTCTGTCCTTCTAAAGAAAAGTTGAATCAAGGCTTTTCTCCTTGATCTAAAAGATAAAATTGTTAAACTGGCTTCTAACACAGACCTTGTAAGCCCAGAATCTGTATAGCATAATCAAATGCCTCCTTTTGAACCTGAGAGTTAAATGAATAAATTCAGAAGGCCACTACCAAAGCATTGCCTACAAAGCACCCCAACAGCTGTTACATACAGGTAATATCAGACTCCCTTTAAAAGGAAATAAAATCTTAAATCAAGTCATTTCATAAGTCATGTGTATGCACAATAAAAAACATTTTGGAAGCAAAATACCACAATGCGTTTTGCAAAAAATCAGGTGCTTATTTTTTAAAAACACCATCAAGCCCTATTTTTCCTACCATTGGGCAAACAATAGGGGCAGGTGCACTACACAGTTATCTGAAAACAACCACAGCATTGTTGAAGAAGTCAGTGCTACAGTTTGTACTAGAGATTGTGAGGAATGTGAAGTCTACAAACACGGTGAATGTGTAGAGACCTTTACTATGTAAGAACTGTGTGGAGAAAGATGGTGAATACAGTGAGATGCATGAAATACATTTTAAAGATAGCCACTTTCCAAGTGTAGTCCTTACTTTTAAAGGTACTCCCAATAAGTAATCTTAAATTATTTTAGTGACATTTCTTCCTTTAAACAATATATTATATAGTATAGTTTAGTTCAATGCAAATTGAATTATTTAGGATTAAGCTATCCTGGTTATTATCTGCTATCATTTTTCTAACTTCATTTTCACATTCTGCACAATGGCACCTTGTATCTCAACTTGCTGACAAGCACTGACAGAAGCAATATGATCTGCACCTGATCATTACAGAAATATGCAGTCTTAATTTCCTCTTTCCCTGAATCCTTTATGGATATCACAAGTTCTAGCCTAAATTCCTAGAAAGTGACTTGGAAAATTCATGAGAAAGATGGTAGCTTACACAGAATCAACTCCTGAACTTTCTCATGCAAGCTTTTTGGCTACCACATAACAGACTAGAAAATGCCGAAGTCCTTTCAGACTGATGACTATGTAAACACCACAAAGGAAATAATTTTGATTACCAATTTTCTTATCCAGATCTTGACTGCTGAATGAATCTACCTCACAATACCACATCATACAATCCTACTTTGTAAAATATTGAGTATTATAAATAAAAACTGTTTGGGAAGTAAAGGGCGTAAAATTACTGTGCATCATCATTTCACTCAGGTCACAGAAATCCAATGGTTTGTGTAACATGGGTGTGAGACACTATACTCCAAGGCAATGCTAGAGCAGCACACAAAAACTGAGGTTTTATGATAAGGACGAGCGGGTGCCTACTGTCAACATGCATGCAATGCATACATGCACTTCTAAGTGTGTGTATGAGGTGGGGGGGGTGACTGTGCACGATTGGCTTAAAAAAGAGCTTCATAGAATTACAGTTATTCACAGTGTTATGTCTGAGAAACAACATGGAACATCTAAAGAGCTGTCTACTGGTTCAGTTTGATGGAGTTCCCAGTAGGAACGCCTGTAAAACTGAAACTCTGGAGAGAAGATGGAAAGCTTTGCTGCTCACAGCTTAGACAAATCACCCACAGGTAACTGAGAGTTGACTGTAATTACATCCATTTTAATTACAGAGCAATAATTATATTCAAAAATTAAGTATGAAAGCCTCCTAAGGTATCTCGTAATGGGAGGAATACGAGACTAGAAGAAACAATCAAAGCCATTCTACAGTAAAAAATCATGCTTTCAAAATAACCAAAAGCAACAAAGTAGTAATGTCATTCCTTTATTACTCATATTTATTAGAGTAGCCCACACAGGTTCAAATGAATCATTTAGAGAGGACATATAACAAAATCTGTGTGTCCATTTTTAATCCAACATGCTTCATTTAGCTATAGAAGTGTTTGTATCACTTAGAGTCAGGCAAACAGAAGACAAAATGAGACAAGTTTAATGTAGTCATGATATCTGTACAAAAAGCATACTTATTGTAAATGAAGTAAAAAAGAGGCTAAAGAGTTTGGCTATGACAAAACATAACTGATGGCTGGAAGAAATATGCAGAAAGATAATATTCATTTTAGGGTTTACATATTCAAATGTCTAAAATACTGAATAGGAAATTTTGCCTGTGAGTGCCTTACCCTTCACCACAAAATACACTGTTTATGTTGAGTAGGTCTGGTAAGGCTTAGAAAAAAACAGATAATAGGAAAAATTTGCAAATGATGGCCTGGAGCCACCACTGCTCTTTTGGTATACTTTTGAAGCTCAATAGCTCACTAAAGCCCCAATTTTTAATAGCTCTCTCCTGAGCCCTTTCTTCTCCCAGATTAATCATCGAAGCACTTTAACCAGCAGCACAGCTAAACAGTAAAAGCAGATTAAAATTCCTAGACAACCATCAAAAGAGTAAGTTTCAAATTGTACCTTTTTTTTTTTTTCTTAATGGATGTTATATGACAAAAATCAAACTTTATAAATAAAGGTCATCCAGCCTTTAGGCTGAAGCTTCCTGTCTCACCAGGAAAATTCATCTTGTCCATGGCCTGCTCCATCAGTCTTTTTCACAGGGGAAACTCAGGAGGAATCTATGCACTAAGGAAAAGACTTCAAGTGGTAACAGCCTTATCCAAGAAGCCACCTTTCTTTCTTATTCAGGGGCATGTATTTATCTCATTTAAATATAAGTGCACTGGAAAAAACTGTTCTTAACGTTTTGACATCACTGATATTACTATGTTGACCGTCATCATGCCAAGATCCATCACAGAACTGTGTTCTCTCAAAGACTTATTTAAACTAAAAGGGAACATTTTTTCCACTAAGGATTCCCTTTCTAACCCATTTCTTAAGTTATAATCTCTCATAAGTGTGTAAGAACTGTGTCAGACCACAGATCTACCTAAATTCTCTCTTTGGCCACAGAAATCTAGAGAAAAGTATAAGAAGGCAAGCATAGAGTATTATTGCCCCACAGCATTTTACTAGTCTAAAGCAGTTTGGACCTCAAAGTCCACCTCAGTTAGAGGCTCCAGCTAGTAATGGAGAACACAGAGGAATAGCTCCAGCCTGAATTAGGAGGTCACAAGCCTACAAATATCAGAGGAAAGGCATTCTATTTCTATACCTGATTATATATCTCTTTAGCATTCCTTTGCTAAAACAAAGGTGGCCTCCATACACAGGCATTTATATGGTAGATAGTAGTATTTTTTTGCTATAGGTGACAAGAAGCACTGGTGCCACACATGACAGGAATTCAGCAGACTCTTCAGAAAGCCCAGTGTCTGTCTCTACCAAAAAGCATTAAGATAGTTTGGTCAATGACCGTTTTAATTGTATAATAATTCACCTCTCTGCTTATAATCATATTCACAATATTACAGCCCATAATCAAAACAAAGAAGAGATGAAGAGATACTAAAATATAAATAATACAAGCAAATAGACGGGCTCAATTTCAATATGGAAGAGAAAAGGCCTGGAAAGGAAGGTAATTCATAGAAATCGAATATACATGACAGTTTTGAAAGCATCTATGAAATAAAATTGCATAATGGAGGGAGATTAAATGAAATGGCTTTAGGGAGAAACAATTCGGGGGATATCACAGCCACAAAACAAATATCTGCCAACCTCATGTGAAGATGGGAATTTCCTGAAGAACAGGAGCACATAAACACTTCCCAGCTTCCCTCTACATATACAACTCAAGCCTGCCAGTTGCACATGCACTAAAGAATGCCATCACAACAGTGGGTTTTTTTTAATTATATTGTCAAATTAAAGTCAGCCTGCAAAGAATGTAGGGTGAGCTTAATGCAATCGCAGTATCTCGAGTTATGAGCACTCTTGTCACTATGTTCTGATGGAGGAGCTGTGCTGGCAAGTTCCCAGACAGACAAGGACAATCACCCAGCTTCGTGGCCAGCAAGGACAAGGACTGCTGTCACAAGGTCATCTTGGGCCAAAACTGCAAGCCCCAAAAAACATTGCACAGCTAAAATGTACCGATATTCACCAATGATACATCCACACAAACAGATTTGTGAATATATATTATATATACATATATATATACATATATATATATAAAAGTTTTGAATATTAGTGAGTCCAAATGCAAACTCCCATCTTTTTGGCCTCTGCAATGAAATGTGCAAAGTGAGGAACTTACCCACAGCATAGAGGACTTAATTCATCATAAGAAATTCCAAATATAGCCCAAAATTTCTGGGAGACAAGATTCACTCTCCAGGCATACTCATATTTTACCCAAGCTAATGAACATACACCTACTGATTTCAGCAAAGTCTGAAAAAGTCCCCAGAATGGGTACCATTTTTAAACACAGAGCATCCTGAGCATTTTGAAATTAAATTAGTCCTAGACCACTATATATTAATACAGCCTTGAAAGCATTAATGACACTTTGCCATTATTCTTTTCATATCTCAATGAAAATCTAACATGCAGGCAAAATGCATCAGAAGCTTTCAGCAAAAACCCACATCTCTGCACCATTACGGGCTTCAGGAACCTGGCTTAACTTAGTTATTCACTTTAGCACCCGAACCCCTCAGAAAATCAGACAAAACACAGCCACTACATTTATTAGATAATTAACAGCCACAGCCAATATTTCTCCTAATGGGTACACTGTACAGAAATAATTCATTTTTAATTAAAGCAAATATTTCTTCAGCATTTTCAAGGGGCTTTTTCCTTGAAGATCAGCAACCATGCTTAGAAACAAATTGCACTGAAGCAACATATGTATTTTGGGTCAAATCAGTGCTCCAGCTCTGTTTTTATTTTGGCCTTCACATGAGGTAACAGGCACTTACTGTGCCAGGTGCCATTCATATCCCAAAGAAAGCTTGTAGATAGCCATCAGTGAAAATATTAATTATCTCTACTGCTTCCTAAAATAGTTTGAGATTATAAAGAAGCCATCTTGGTAGCTTCTCTTAAGGAACTACCTAACTTTCAGCAAACTTCTTGTTAAAATTAAAATACTACCAGATGGTCCATGGACAAAGAGGAAGCTTTGACCTTGTCAAGCCACACTTTTGAGCCAGCACTGTAATGCCTACATATCTTAGATACTGTTCTATCTAATTGTTACCAATTGTTCTATCCGAGTGTTACCTGTTCTATCCAATACATATTCTGTAATCCTTTACAATATAGTTTGTCTAGGTCCTATTCTCATAAAATCAACACACTCACTCACCTTGAACAATAACATCCTGAATCTAAATGCCATATTACAACACAACATGAACCTGTCCCCACTTTTCAGTTTCATTAGGAGAGCACTCATTAAGGCAAGACTCTCTCCAGTGATGTCTTCTTAGCTGCCATCCAGCATCCTCAGTGTAGGAGCACAATCAGTCTCATTGCGATTCATATGAAGGTACAAAGCTACTTTTCAAATAGGCTCTCAAAGAAGAAAACAGAAATGCATTTCTGCTAAGGTAAATTGTTATATTCAAGCAATTGGATGTACTCCAATTTTAAATACCTTGGATCTGATCTACTGTGTTTATATAAGATCTATATATGATCTATGGTTTCAAAAATCTACAGCAACTAGTAAAAGAATTTGATAGCTAAATACTTTTTAAAGATACCCTAGCATTTCAGTGGATTTTTCCTACAATTTGCAAGTCAATAATAATATGCTAAGCAGTTTTGAGCTTCTATCACCACAGACTAGATAATAATCAAATAGATAATAATCAAATTAGTCTGTTTGATTTTTATCCTATCTCCTTCCAGTTATGTATATTGGCACTCAGTTCTGTTTCAACCGAACAAACTTCATGGATTTAGGCTACAACTAACAAAAGTACTGCATTTTCCTGGTGAAATCAGCCAAGGCATTCTCATGGGAGACATCTTTGTGTGAGATACATTTTTCATACTCCTTCCTAGGGCCATGTACTGCCCAAGTGGTACTGCCCAAGTGGACTTAAGGTATCACAGTAGGCTGTGCTTTTCTATTATTTGTGCTTTTATATTTGAGCCTTGGATAGGCACATGCTGCATTATAAATATCTGAGTAAATATGTATTGTAAATGTTTACACATGGTAAATATAAATCCATTGAAAAGAGAAATGTAAATATAAGGATGCAAACAGTCACTGTCACTTACATCACTTATTATTTCACTGCATTTTCGGGCCAATTCCATATTTCGGTCCTCAATAACAGGCTTAAGGAAGACCTATAAAAGAAAGGTAATTGTTCCAGGTTTATTGTCTGAAAAAGAGTACCAAGAAAAGGAAGTATTTTTCAAAGCTACAGGGTTTTAACTCACCGGTTCTTCTTCCTCATCCTCATTTTCATCCTCCCTGAAATCCTGAATGACAGATACTCGCATTTTAATACTTCCAGAAAACAACAAATACACTAAAAAGGTTCAGTGCTGCAGGAAACAGCTCAGACTCTACAGCATGCCTGGAATCAATGCCTCATTTGTGTCCTCCACTGCACTTAACTTAACCAAGGCTCCTTCCTTATTTAGGCAGCACTTGACAGCCTTTATCTGAACAATTCAGTGTGAGTGAACTGAAAGGCATTGCAGATGGCCTTGCTAGCTATCAGTCGCTGCAGAGCTAATGCTTTCTTACAGATAAAATATAATTAAATGACCTATCCCAGTCAACTATTTTTAAAATGACTGCGAACACACTTAATTAAAATACTGTGATTCAATTAATTCATAACATAAGTAATTTAGCAAAATTAACAGATATAAATGGGAGCACTGATTCTAAAGCCATGGGAGAACTGCCCAGTTCAAAGATTCAAGGCAACACAGGCTCCAAAAACAGCCATCACAAAATTTATTTTGTTGGTCCAATAATAAAGCTTTTTAATTTATATATAAATATATATATATACACAGACACAATACTCACATTTTCCAGTAGATGCGACAGGTAGTATATTTTTCAAGAAATGTTCTTTTTCCACCAAGTGTATAAAATTCCTTAAATGCCTTACATATTATGTCAGCTGAAGTTTAAACCTGTGCACACAGATACAAACACATCTGCATACTTACAAATATACTTGACTATTTGCTTATATAAACAAGTACGTTCATCCAACCTTAAAAATTGTCATAGTTTCAAAACCAACCTTTTCCAGTATGAAGTCCAACTGCAATGAAACTGAAAGGCATCCTTATTCGAAAGGGTATAGTATCACAGCATTTGCTTCTGTAAAACAACCAAGGATGCATTACAGGATCAGTTGGAGTAACCAGCATTTTAACATTATTTGCTTTCTAATCTATAGCATGTATACATCTCACTTTATACAGGTCATGATTTTGAATTTCATCTAGCAAAGTGATTCACCACTACAGAGCTTTGCAATCAGGCAAAGGAATGTGTGCTCTTGGAAAACCTCTTCAAAGAATATTAAGTACTTGAGCCCAAACAGTGCCCCTAGAGCTTGTTTAAAAACACATTTCCTTAGGGGAAAAAAAAAAAAAAAAAAAAAAAAAAAAAAGAAAACCATTTTGAAGGAGAGGAAAAACACAACATTTTACTTAGTTCAGATCTGAAAATATGAAAATATATTTATATATATCTATAAAGAAAAAAGGTACAGACTGCTTTCATTCTATAATAATCAAGAGACAGAATTCTTTATACATTAATATTACAGAAAGTTTCAAGGCTTTTCATTCTACTATTTCAAATATAAGTTCCAAAAGTCCACATTTGGATTGGTTGTGCTGATGTTCATGTTGAAACCTGAAGGCCTGGTTTGCATAAGTGAGGATTACCTTTAATTTATGATGACTGCTTTTGGAGCTCAGGATGTTTCGTCTTTGTGGAAACAAGCAGTTTAGTCTTATAAATTGGGTATTCACAATAACTGGTCACTGTTGAAGACTATGGCCACAAAAAATGTATTCCTAAGCAACAGACTCTTGCATGATTTCAAGTAGCACATGTTAAGGAGACAGAGTACCTACAAAAGCACCAGAAAGAAATACAGAACTAAGGCTTCAGTTTTGTATTTTTGTGATAATATTGAAAATACTGTATTCTTCCAGCACAGTTAAGTTCCTTTTCCTTCCTATATTTAATAAATTTTGTATGTGGAGACATTGAAAAATATGTAAGAGGGTAGAAAAGAGCTATTAGTAGCTGCAAAGCTTGCTGAATACAGGGAAATCTTTTGCTATTTTTTGCCCTGGAAAGCAAGTATGGTCAAAATGACCACGTCAAAACTGTTTGGTTTTTGCGGGGTAGAGAAGGAACTCATATTTTTAACATGCTTACATTGTATTTGGTGTTTTTTCAGCAGCTGAACATAGCATAATTTATAAAGTAATTGTGGTTTTCCTGTAATGGTTTCCTCATAATAGATCTGCTTTCTCATTAACATGATCTTGAACTGATTTGATAGAATTTCATTTTTTCCCATTTTTGTGTCATCTGGGTCAGACACAACTAGGCATTTAAACATGCTATGTCCCATATGACTTCCATAATATAGGGATTGCACGGCAGCTGCTACAACTCATCATATTAAAGAAAAATATAATACTATGCATGGAAAAATATAATACTATGCACAAAGTGAGCAAAGGAGAAAAATATTACTGTATCAACTAACCACACACACAAATTATTCAATATGTCTCTCTTCAGATAATAGATGCAGTAAGAGACTATATGATATAATAAACTGTCTTCCATCTTTTTATTTCCTCCTCAAAGCACTTAGTTCTGTCAGATATCACTTAGTTTGCCATAGAGAAACACTGATAATTAAATATATGCAGATATAATTCAGAGAAGAATTTCATAGAATCACAGAATGGTTTGGGTTAGAAGGTATCTTAAAGATCACCCAATCCCAACCCTCCGACATGGGCAGGGATGCCTCCAACTAGACCAAGTTGTCTGAAATCCCATCCAGCCTGGCCTTGAACAGTTCCAGGTAGCAGGAACTTGATATGCTTTAAGAGATGCATAGTTTAGAAGTGCATTACAATTACAAATAGCAGCTTACAGGTCAAGAACAAGTTGAAGTTACTTCCAGAAGAGGCAATAAATAAACCACAATCAGCAGGCATGTTTGGTACAGCAAATATTTGTGTATGTTGACAGATATTTTAATATTTAATACTCTAAAAATACTACATCAAATCTGAATATGAACCTAGTTAAATACTGAGCTTTAAATCCTCAAAATGATTATGAAGTACTGTTTTATTAAATATGATTTTTCACCTGCACAAGTTTTTATTTTTTTTATTTATTTTTTTTTTTTACCAAAACCTCCAAACTTACACTTCTGAACCATTTTCTGCTGTAAATAATGGAATCTATCATCATTAATTCTGACACAAAACAGAACAGACTAAACGAAGTCCATTGGCAGAGAACGTTAAGAAAACAGCACTCGAACGGACTTCTGATCAATATATACACAATAATATTTGTAAGCATACAGGGTATGGAAAAATAAGATTTTATTATTGCATTATAGATATCTTAAGGATATCTGTAGACCCTCTGCATTCACACACAGGGTAGAAACAGGTTATTCAGGGCAGTACCCAACATAAATTCATTCAAAGTCTGTAAGAAAATTCTGCATAGCTCCAAATTTCTACTTCCAGCCATACTGCATGGATGTTTCACATCTGAGTTTAAATTTGGCCTTAAGGCTAAGGAACAAGGCTATTCTGTTGAAGAAGCTGCAACAAAATCAAGAGAACTCTACTTAGGCACTATTGCTCACAAAATCACAATATTTGCAGTAAGCAAGTTACACTTGCACATCCAACTTACTATGTATGATCTTCTGACAGAGAAGCCTTCTAGAAAACAACTATATGGCACATCCTATGAAAGGACACATCTGAATCTCCCAGCACTTACAACCATCATTTGAGTGTTTCAACATAGTATCATTGGACACAGAACATAACTCAAGTATTTGGTCTAAACACATTAGAGGAGGCAGAAGAGAAAGAAAAATAGGGCATAAAGGAGCCTGAGTCCCCATGAGTACAAGTTTGCCCAGCATGCACACAAGTCAGTCACACAGTTGTGCAACTGTGATTTGATCACACACTGTTGTGTCCACACTTGGCCAAAGCCCTGCCATCTCCTTGTTCCTTTAATCAGTCTTAAGAAATACATATAGGATATGTCAGCCCAGAAAGTCAGAAGATGTCATCTCATTCTGGTCCTCATACACACACCAATTCAGCAGCTAAATTCAGTTCCATCACTGAATAAACACCGCCACTAGACTTGCTTGGTGTTCTCTTTCCCCACACACACATTAAAAAAAAAAAAAAGGGTACCAGGAATGGCACAATCTCAAACATTTTTAACAGAGTTATTCTCGGAGTATTTTAACACAGGTTGCAAGTTAAGGACAGAGGCATTTCAGCTGGAAAACCTGCAGAGCAGTTACAGTGAGGTGTATGTTATGAACATATTCCTTTGCTCCTTTGCAATCCTGGATTGAAAACTTATTAAGAACAGAGGTAGAGTTTTACTGCTTTAACTACAGTGCTTCCACAAAAAATAAATAAATAAATACATACATAATCAACCCACAGACTTCCCTGAAATGAGAACATAATTTTCTGTTCTCCCTGGACAGATGCATACACCACTGAAATAAGGACAATTAATTCAACAGAACACAGCTGGTGGTCTCTTTTCAAAAAGCACACAAGGCATTTGTAAACGCTGAGATTCATTACTTCTCATTTCTAGAAATACTCATCTATCAGACCGGAAGTTACTAGCAGTGCTGCCCAAGCAAGTTCATAGCTAGGCTATCAGCACCACAATCACAAACAGAAAGAAAGCAAGGGTTCCCAGATTGCCAGTTTTAACCTCCTCTGTACATGCAATACCAATTAACATCAGCAAAAGAAAGTCAACAGATGGTTCTATCCACAAGATTGTATCGGTCATCATTTACACTGCATTTGTCAGCAACAATTCAAAACCTGCAAATATTTCATAGTTCTAAGCTAAGATTTTCATTCAGTTGAAGTTCTTTTATTCAAGGTTTTGGTAAATCAAAGAGAGTTGGAATGGTATTTTTGAACACAAATACAAATAAGATCTTAGAACACTGAGTTGTTAATTCCAGAAAACATAATGAATTATGAATTTCCAATGACTTATATATCATCAATAAAGGTTTTTTGTCTGTTTTTTTGTTTGTTTGTTTATTTTTTAACATCCACTCACAAAGATTGTGTCTAAGCACAACTGGATCTTGATGACAGAGCATTTAAGAAGTTTATAAGACAGTTTCACGTAATAATACCTGATCTAATCTAGTTATAAAAAGCAGTGTATCTGTGCTAGCATGACACTGTCTGAGTTAATAAACTCTTTCCCACACTGCTAATTATTCTAAGAAATGAATCACGCAAACCCATTCAGAAGTGGGAGTATTCATCATGGCATAAGACTGTGCCATGCAGATGTAACCTTAGCTGTGATGAGTAACAATGTACTGAAATAAACCAGTATAAAACTTTTTGAGGTAGTAATGTGTGATCAAAAAAAAAAAAAAAAAGTTAAAAACAAACTTAGCTTAATTTTCCTGACAATATTCATACAAGCACCTACTACTTTTGCGCAATACTTTCTAACCTTCAAAAATGAAATTTCCTAAATTGGATACATACATGTAGTCTCCCCTATTTTCTGATTTTTCATTTGTAAAGAAGTCAAACCCCCAGCAACAGCGAAATTTGGCACTTCTACCCCCAAATATTTTCACTTTAACCAGAAGCCTGAAAAATCCTTGAAAGGATGAAAGTCGATGCAGCAGGAAACATGACACTAATCAATCACATTTAACTGCTTTGCAATTTTTTCATCTACTCTACCTGACATAGCCGTAGCATGTCCCATTCTCACCCAGTGTCATAAAATCCTTTCACATTAGTCAAGCATCCCAGTAGCTATGGGAATCCACCAAAGCTGATGACGTAGGAGCAGCCTATACAGTAGTCACTGTAACCAGTGGACAGCAGTACACCCAAGCCATCCAACACCCTGCAACACGTGGCTAAGATTTCACAGGCTTTTTCTTCAGAAGATGGCTAGAAATTGAAGTTAGTAGTTGACTGGGTTACCGTGTGAGGCTTCCAAAAAAGTTAAATCACATTCAGCAGAAGCCAATTCAAAAGGGAATTTATGGCTTTTCTCTTAGGACTTCTCAAATGCAGTGAAGGTTTTGATAATATTTGAAAGATTTCCATTCGCAAGGTTTTCATTTTACCCAGACATCAGTCTTACATAAGAAAATGCCAGGACTGCTTAGTGAGAATTTGGAAATTTTACCTTGTTATAATAATTACAGCTAAAATTATTGATGATTGTAGGTAAAATTTATGAAGTTAGTAGTAAGTAAATTTCATTTTGCATTAATACATCCTAAGAAGCTAAAGATACTCCCTTTCTACTCTTAGTGATTTCATACTCAAATACAGCTTAATGTAATCTGGTAACTATATTATTACATTAAATTACGAATAACAAAAAGACGTATTTGACATATATATAGACTCATTCTCTTCCACACATTTTCTTAGCCTTATAGACTGGGCTTGTGCACCTATGAGGAATTTTTCTTGTGGCATTTTTAGAATTCAGCAGCCTCAACTGAGAAAACTAGGCCTTTCCTATAAATGTAATTTTAGTTATAAATATATCCAAGAGTCCATAACACACTTACTTAATAAATGTTGTTGGTTTTATTCTGGAAGCTAAAACCACAGTGGTTTTTATTGTTCTTGTATTTAATTGTGCTTTTTCTCCTTTATATTTTTTCACTTCGTGTTTTGATAAAACTAATACTGTAACTTCAGTCATATTCTCTCTGAAAGGAACAATACCATAAATAATACCCACCTTTATGAAACCTTTATAAATGTATCATTCCAGAACATTTCATGTTCCTATGAGTTCTTC